TTCATTATCATTTTGTTATGTGTAATTTATGGTATATGGAACATATGAATGCACAAACCTGTAGGAATTGATGTTTTTAACCAGGGTGGCAGTCTCAGTCGCTCTACCTCTCCTTTTTCTCGTTTTAACTTCCCTTCATAATCATCCCAGTTGGCAGGTATATCCTCTGAGATAAAATCAGCCAAACCGGGACCTTCTCTTAGCTTTTCTCTAATTATATCTAATTTACTTGTGTGTTTACGTCTTTGTCCCTGTTAAGCAAAATATATTTTAAGCTTATTTGGACAGACTAAGATAATTTTTTTAATTTTCTACCTATGAAAATTAATAATGCATTGCATTATAAAACCTTTATATGTGGTAGAGTAGACATGCTGCATTTATATTTAGTAGTATAGTTGTAGCACGAATGGGTCGGCTCAACCGGGGCAGGACCACACTCTCACAGAATACAAGCGTAAAATGGTAGCTTAATGCTGCTGTGTTTCATATGGTGAGTGTGGAGAACCGGAGACCCTCTTTAATGGAAATGAGGCATTTCATCTTAGTCCTCACGGGTGACAACGCATCTGCATTTTGATTCGGAATCGACGATAGATGTGTCTATGGGCACAAGTCTACTTGTTCACAAGTTACACTTTATAAGAAAGTTTTTACAAGTATGTGTAAATTACGTTTATCAAAAAAACTACAGGGCTTGTGAAATTTAACACTTGTAGGTTCTACTTGTAAGTTCTAAAATCAAAAATGTATGTAAATTTTCTGCAATAAAAAAAATTGCACCAATGCTAAAAGGAAACAACGATTTAGTAATTGAAACATGTTATATTTTATATATTATTATTTGTCAGCTTGAGAAAATTTTCACCTGTGTTTTCGTTTACAGAAAAAAGTAAGGTTATTTAAGTAAAACAGAAAAATTCTTGTTCTATATGTAGAACAACAATTAGAACAAGAATTAAAAAAGAAAAGAGAACATGATTTACAATTGGAGTTCCTGGAATTGCAAAATTACAAATTAAAACTAGAAATATTAGAAATGGAATAAAACTAGATGTCGAGCCTTCAGAACTGACCAAGAAAATAAAACCCGCACCTCAGAAAAATACAATTAAATGCGGCTATATTCAGGATAACTCAAATCAAATTTCATAAATTACGAACAACAATATCATTTTAAATGAAGATGGTTTTTTTTTATAGGATAGGATGACAAACGAGCACACAGTCCATTTGATGGTAAGTGGTTGCTGTGGCCCATAGACATCTACATCTATCCTCGATTATGAATCAAAATGCAGATGCGTTGTCATCCGTGAGGACTTAGGTGGAATGCCTCGTTTCCAGTAAAAGGGATCTCCGGTTCTCTACACTCACCATACGAAACACAGCAGCATTAAGCTACTATTTGACGCTGGTATTCTGTGAGAGCTTGGTCCTTCCCCGGTCGAGCCAACCCATTCGTGCTACAACTATACTACTAATATAACTGCAGCATGGCTCTATCACATGTTAAAACATAGGTACTCAAACGGTTGTGATTTAGTGTAATATTTTTACGATTTCCTACGTAATAAAAGTAATATAAGCTTAGCTGCTAGCTGTGCCGCGCGGCTGCACTTTGTTGAACAAAGTCTTGGACTGGGGGCAACTAAATCTAGTCCAGTTTAATCCCCAGAAGACACAAGTTTGCATGTTTACTGCTAAAAAGAACCCAGTAATATTAATTTAGTTGATAGGGTGTGGTTTCTATTTGTATTTCTTTCTAAATAGCTACCCAAAATGTTAATTAATTGTTCCAATTTTTCAAGTTTAAGTCGAAACCTTTAATTAAAGTCATAGGTTGTCTCCGTATGGCCATAGTCAATACTCGTTCTATATGTTCTTCGTTCCATTATTCTAATATTTTCATCATCGCTTGAGTCACTTGACCACATTTTAAAAAGGACAATAAAAATTAAAAAATATTACAGTACTATTTATGATACTTGTAAGATGGAATGGAAAGTCGCCGGACACTCTTTGGATTTGCTGATTTTCTACAAATTGTAACTTACAGGGGATTTTCGATGAACAAAATCACGAATACAAGCGTAAATATATACTTGTGAAATAAATAATGACCCTTGTAACTTATAATTTACATGTGTAGTTTTGACAAACACATATTGGTAATAATTAAATTTTTTACAGGAAAATTGCTTGTAATACAAGGCCTGTACATTTTGATAAACAGGGCATAGGTGGACTGTGTGCTCGTTTGTCACCCTATCCTATAAAAAAAATTACAAATGCTAATTTTTTATGTGCCCTATGCCAAGGTCTCATTGAAGTACAATTTTATAAAATGTGTCTTTTGAATTTTTCTATCATTCAAAATTTCTATTATTATATCTAAAATTTATCTTATTATCAAACAAACTAAAATTCCAAACAAATAATTGTAAGCTAAGTAAAACAGAAATGCGATTAATATTCGTTATTAATTAAAATAAATTACCTTATGATTTTGAAACACCGTGTTAAATTTAAATGTATTACGAAACATTATGAATAAGATAATTTGATTAATATATTATTATACAAATAACGCATAAATATATGTATGCATGTGATTTGAAAAAGATTTTGTTTTGATTTGATTTGTCATTTGTCGATGATCGATATCATCTTATGTCAGGGTCTCAGTCACTGTCACTGTAATTTATGAGCAGAGATTTATGAGGTTAGAGAACGGGAGAACCATGGAGGTGAAAGACAAGGAGAACGATCGCTGTAGAAAATAGTGTCCCAGAAATATGGACAAAATAAGTGCGGCGCTTCGATCGCTAAGTTCTCTCAATAAAAGTCATTTTTAGTCTATTCCGATCAGATGCTAAACCACTTGCACGTCCACGCACTATACAATATTTCACCATTTATTAATGTTTCTTTTATTTTCTCACGCCAGTCAATGCCACGAAGAAAATTTGTACATTATTCAACTAACTTCTTGTACTCATAATCAGCTAACTTCACAGCCACTCACCGACGCTACGGCAGCGCGGCTATAAATTCTACAAGTTTTCAGGGACAGGCGGGCTATGCTTTAGCACGTAACAATCGTTCTCTTGTTCTCTAAGATGGAGGATGTTTATGTCCTTCTCTCTACCCTCCATGCTGGAGGGTAGAGAAAAGGAGAACGATCGCTGCAGAAAATAGTGTCCCAGAAGTATGGACAAAATAAGTGACACGCTACGATCGCTAAGCTGTCCCATAAAAAGTAATTTTCAGTCTATTTTTCAGATCAGATGCTAAACCACTTGCACATCTACGCACAATACAATATTTCACCATTTTTTAATGTTTTTTTTTTATAAAAATTTAAAAATATGGAGCACGATTATTTTCTCACCAATGCCGCGAAGAAAATTTGTACATTATTCAACTAACTTCATCTACTTGTACTCATAAACAGCTAACTTCGCAGATAGTACTTATCGACGGCAGTTCAGGGACAGGCGGGCAATGCTTTAGCACGTAGCGACCGTTCTCCTTATCTCTGACCTACATATTTATGAGCATGGAGGTTGGAAAAATCTGTATCTGCAAAGTTCACTGTTTATGAGTACAAGTAGAAGTTAGTTGAAATAAGTACTAATTTATACGGAATTTATCGCGTATATTTAACTTTTTTACCCGACGTTTCGAGAGCTTTACAGCACCCATGGTCACGGGAAGGACTGAGATGTTCAACGTCCAGCTGTCATAGTTAACCGCGGTTACCATAGATTAAAATTTAACTTTTGTTAAATTTTAATCTATGGTAACCGCGTTACCGCGCTTTTACGCGTTACGCGTAACCGCGTTCAGACTTCCCGGGAAGCCTGCAGTCTGTGAACATGTACAGGATCGCCCCCGTCACTACATCAGATTTGATAGACCACAAATCCTCGCTAAAGAACACCGATTCCTTCCAAGGATGATTCGCGAAGCTATTGAAATCAAAAAACATCCTAATTTCAATAGAGAAGATGGCTGGGTGCTACCATCTGCTTGGGATCCTATAATAAATAAAATTAAATCCCAACCCAAGCATACAACTGCAAGACTTCATGATACCATAAGTTCATACTGTGTAGATCGGAACAAAAGTTAAATTTTAATCTATGGTAACCGCGGTTAACTATGACAGCTGGACGTTGAACATCTCAGTCCTTCCCGTGACCATGGGTGCTGTAAAGCTCTCGAAACGTCGGGTAAAAAAGTTAAATATACGCGATAAATTCCGTAAAAATTAGTATTATTTCAATGTGTAGTGTTCGCGTAAATATAAGAAATCAGAAGTTAGTTGAATAACGTTGTAATTAAAATTGTAAAAAACACAACTTTTAATTTATTCATTAATAAATAATAATAATAATAATAAAATAATAAAATGGCGTAGGGAAGAGAAGACCCCATCGCCCGCATACGTAACGGTTATATGACAAAACCGCTACGTAAGCGCAGTCAGTCGGCACCTTGCCAAGAGGACTTAGTACCGTGCCTCGGCAAAAATTGAAGGTGCCAAGGCCTGCTTGTGCACATGGCCTCACTATGCAACGGCGCCAGGCCTGGGCGTATCCAGTTAAATGACGCCCACAAAAATGGATGTTGGAATTGAATAGAACGCGCAAAGGGACGCTGCCTGGAGGTCGCCAGGGCGCTTCTGGCGCTGGAACTGGACGTGACAGCATGTGAACCGCCAGCCGGGCGTGAGGTGCTGCACGACCACCCAGCAGCCCTTCGCATCCATTATCCCCACCAGCTGGCTTGGTGTCGGCAGGGTCTTCGCGGGCCCAACAATCGGCACCCGCCACTGGTGGGGTACGCCGCATGCGTTGGATAACCCAAAACAACAGCAACGCATTGCGTGCGTATTTTAGGGAGAAAGGGGGTGAAATTGGAGGTTTGGCGTATCGGGCAAGGCATATGTAACCGTCACCTAGCAAAATCTGGCAGACCAAGTTAGGTATATCTTGCGCTCAAATACATTTGATGTCACCGAAATCGAACGGCTACGACGTGAGGCTGTTCCTTCATCCGATGAAAATGCTACGGCTGAGGATGCAGCGCCACAACTTGCAGAGCAACCGGGAAAAATGGATGCCGCCGTGAATACCCCAGTTGTGGTTGATTTAAACGATGATGGAACAGTCACCCAGTAACTGGAACTAGAGCAAATGAGGAGTAAATTGGAAGAGGCAATTGTGGAAACGTGCACAGTACGCCTCTCGAAAATTGACCGTGACTTCCCCACATAGCCCTAAGCAAGCGGAATCGGGCTATCATGAGGGCTCTGAACCCAATGTTGGTGACCTGTTTGGAAGCCGGCCGGGACCTTTGCGAGACGGACTCAATTCTTTTTTGGCGCCGCACTGGCAGTCTACCATAATATAGGCGCCAAACTTTCCACGGCTGAACGCGCTACTGGACAAAGTAGTGCTATCCCAGCCTAGAGAATAAGAATTGAGAACGTATCGCAAAGGCTAAGGCCCACATCGGCAGACTGTTATGTTTCAGGTCGGGCAATACCAGGCCAAGGGTTGTGCGCACCGTCAGGATGGCGTTTGCTGGGACAAATGTTAGTTTGCCCCAATCGAATATAATGCAAAAACTGACGGAGCGCATAGATAACCTGAAGCAGAGAATCGCTGCTTGGGGAAAGCGGATTCGGCGATATACCGAGAGTTCGACACGGTTCAACCAGAATCGTCTCTTCCAGAGCGATTAAACCATATCAGAAGAGACTCTATAAATCATTGGAACGACCAGGGGTATGTGGAGTGGGCCTAGGACCGGATCAGGCCGGCACTGTCGCATTCTGGCGTGGCCTGTGGTCAGAGCTCGTAAGCCACAGCGAGGGCCCTTGGATGGAAGTTGTGGCGAGCCATGGTGCGAGTGTTACGCATATGAACCCCGTCATCATAACGCCTGAAGACTTGGCTGAGGCAGTTCGTAGAGCAACGAACTGGAGTCTGGGACTCGACGGACTGCATCAATACTGGCTGAAGAGGTTCGTAGTGTGCTACACTGTGCTCGCCCGAAAGTTTCAAGAGGCTCTCGCCAGAAGTCGCTCCCGAGCCTCTTCACTCCTGGGATCACTCACTTGGTCCTTAAAGACCGGGATACCACAGACCCGAGTAAATACCGCCCCATCACGTGTCTACCCACCATATATAAGATACTGACATCCATTTTGAGCGCGAGAATCACTCGTCACCTGGACTCAAATCAGGTGATGTCACGCGCTCAAAATAGATGTCGGGGCGGTGTTCGTGGAACCAAGGATCCACTCCTCACTGACGCGGTCATTGGTAAATTGGTGAAACACAACCGTCGGAACTTCTCCACCGCCTGGATAGATTAGAGAAAGACATTCGACTCGGTACCCCTTATATGGCTAAAGAGGGTCCTCGAGCTGAACAAAATTGACTGTACAGTTAGAGACTTCCTTTGGGCAGTATGTGGGGCAGTGGAGTACGATCCTTTGTCATCTGGGAGAGCCGATGACGACTGCGGAAAGCCGCATATATATAAGAAGGGGGTATAATCCAGGGCGACTGTCTGAGTCCAATCTGGTTCTGCCTCTCTTTGAACCCTCTCAGTACTTTTCTGGGGGGCTCCGGGAGGGGATTTAAGCTTCGGAAAGGAGGTACAAAAGTGACCTACCTTTTTATATGGATGACCTCAAGTTATGCGCCTCCAGTCGCTCCCATCTTGTGGAATTGCTAAACATCACTTGTGAATTTAGCAATTCTATTGGAATGGAGCTGGGGACGGATAAGTGTCCTCCATGTTGAAAGGGGAAGGGTTGCTAACTCTGAGGGCATAGAATTATCTATGCCCATCAAAATAAGCACCCTTTCTGAGGATGAAACATACCGATACCTGAGTATGTCACAGAACATCGGTATCGATGAGGCTGGTATGAAACAGTCAGTTTGCGACGTGTTTTATGCACGCTCGACCAAAGTGCTTAACAACCTTTTGTCCGGTGTGAATAAGACACGCACATATAACGGTTGGGTCATGCCCGTCCTCATGTATACCTTTGGCATACTCAGGTGGACTCAGACTGAACTTAACGGCCTGGATGGAAAAGTCCGCACTACCACGACGTCCCATATGATGCATCATCCGAGATCGTCGGTAGTGAGGCTGTACTTGCCGCGAAAGCATGGTGGGTGTGGCTTTATGAGTGCGCTCACCATGCATAATCGCGAAGTGTGTTGCCTCCGTCATTACTTCCTGGCGAGATCGGATGATCCATTCCATAATGACGTAATTTCTATAATGACACAGCCTTACATCTGGCTGCCTATTGTGGAAGGAGGAGTTCTACAAGCAAGTAGATGGTGTGACGATGGGCTCACATGTATCTCCCATTGTCGCCGACATATTCATGGAAGACTTTGAGGAGAAAGCCCTGCTTACTTCTCCCATAAATACAAGATGCTACAAGCGGTACGTAGACGACACTTTCACAATTCTACCTTTAGATAAAGTAACTGCATTTTTAGACCATCTTAACTCTATAAATGCTAAAATTCAGTTCACAATGGATGGAGAGAACAATTCCTTAGCTTTTCTAGATGTGTTAGTAATTCGGAATCCTGATAACACCTTGAGCCATACTGTGTATAGAAAAAAAGACCCATACAGATACATATTTAAACGGTGATTCTCACCACCATCCTTCACAGTTAGCTACCGTGGGTAAATCTTTGTTTCAGAGAGCACGAGGGATCTGTGACAGTAAACACCTGGCTGCCGAGCTCCAACATGTCAAGCAAGTTTTGCATGACAACAAGCTTCGGGTCCCGCGCCTACGTCACAGAGAACGAGTGAAGCCGGCCATAGTCGAGCGTGTACCTGCTGTACTGCCATATGTTAGAGGAGTCACTGACAAGATTGGCTACATCTTGAAGCGCGCTTCCATCAAAACATACTTCAAGCCGCCGAAGAAGATTGGTCAGTTTTTACCATCAGTCAAGTGTAACGTCCCTCTGCAAGATGCAGGAGTGTACAAGCTTGATTGTGAATGTGGTCTATCCTACATAGGACAAACTAAAAGATCAATTAAAACCCGCGTCAAAAAACATATAACTGATGTGAAGAATCGACGCTCCGGGAAGTCTGCAGTCTGTGAACATGTACAGGATCGCCCCCGTCACTACATCAGATTTGATAGACCACAAATCCTCGCTAAAGAACACCGATTCCTTCCAAGGATGATTCGCGAGGCTATTGAAATCAAAAAACATCCTAATTTCAATAGAGAAGATGGCTGGGTGCTACCATCTGCTTGGGATCCTATAATAAATAAAATTAAATCCCAACCCAAGCATACAACTGCAAGACTCCATGATACCATAAGTTCATACTGTGTAGATCGGAACAAAAGTTAAATTTTAATCTATGGTAACCGCGGTTAACTATGACAGCTGGACGTTGAACATCTCAGTCCTTCCCGTGACCATGGGTGCTGTAAAGCTCTCGAAACGTCGGGTAAAAAAGTTAAATATACGCGATAAATTCCGTAAAAATTAGTATTATTTCAACGTAATTTCTAGTTATAAAGGGCTTACCCCTCTATCAATGTCGCGGACACTGCGCGTGTTACACGATGTTACGTTCTCCTCCCGCTTCTCGCGACCGCGACAAAGTAATAAGTGACAACAGTGTAGCCAAGTGCAAAGACTGTGAAGTGGTGATCAATGAATTACTAGCTTTTGTTGCGAACAAGGTTGACACATTAGCCGAGCTTGGACTTATACAAATATGTTTGAGTGCCTACTCCTATGACGATATCGAGCACGCACTGTGTATAAATTACTTGCCCCACAAAAATAGAATTACTAGGCGTAAGGAAGGGAGTGAGAAGAATAGTCTGCAGGAAATAATAAAGCTAATAAAAGAATTTGAGCCGTACTGCCTGCCTGTTTTTGTGGCAAAGGATTTAAACAAGTTACCGCCAGTTACTTTTGATAGCATCGATGTGACAACGTTCCTTAAGGATATGGCGTTATTAAAAAAATAGATCGCAGCTTTACGCAAAAGCTCCAATCCCTACAGTTCCTCTCTGGAATCACTCAAAAAAGATCTAGCTGACGTTAAGCTTGCATTGAAGGAGCTGCAAGAAAAAATAATTGGGGTTAAATCTGCAACCTGTGATACATATTCGTCTCCTATATCTTGTGAGGACAAGATTCCCGGAAGGTGGGTAGTTAAGCATAAAAGTGCACAGAAATCGCTGTTAGCCAAGATAAGCTCGCACGCGTCCACACCGGCCGCTCCCCCTCCACCAGAGCCCACAGCGAGGGAATCGTGCTCACCTACTACGTCGCAAGGCGCAGCGAACAATAAATCAGTCCTACAGTCCAGCGGTACAGATTCTAAACAATTGTCCAGTCAGCCGAGTTATGCTAAAGTTGCGGACGGTTCCGACTTGGGTCCTAAATTTGCGTTTGATTGCGATTTATTAACCGTTTCTGAACACAATGATAATGTAAACAATTCGCACGTTCTGACACTAAAACCGATAAAAGAGGTGAACTGGACTACAGTGACGAGTAATCGTCAAAAGAGACTAGAGAATAGAAAAGGAAAAGTGCATCCAATATGCGAATTTAATTTCAAAGCAGCAGAAAGAACTTTATCCCTATATATATCACGAGTACACAGAGATCGTACTGCGAAAGACATTGCTGGCTTTATTAAGTTCAAGACTCAACTGGAAACGGTAGTTACTAAAATTAATACGTACGAAAATAGTTTTAATGCCTTTAAAATCACAGTGCTCACAAGGCTGATTTTTGAATGATGAGGGGATCAATTTTGGCCCGCGGGAATTGTTTTTAGAAAGTTTAGAGAGCGTGGGTATCGCCCCGTACAAAGGGAACCGAGGAATGAGAACAAAATTACTAATAAACAATATGGATAAGTCCGATATATCATTTATTTCCTTCAACTGTAAATCAGTTAAAAGATCTCTTGTTCAAGTAAGAGTTTTGTAAAAAATACCACTTGCTGGCGCTCCAGGAAACACACGATCTAGGTTTTCTTAATACTATAGACTCAAAATTTGAATCATGTGGAGTATCAGCTATTGACAAGGAGTCTGAAGGACTAATCTGCGGTCTTCCGCGGATTAGTCCTTCAGACTCCTTCAGACTTCCCTATGGTGGTAGCACTTCTATGGAATAAGCGAAAATTTCGGAGTGCGGAGGTCATACCTTTCTATAATAACAGGATGTGTGCTGTGAAGCTAAGCCATGGAAATAGACATGTGCTTTTTATAGGTACTCTACTACTAATTATAGGTACAATCTGTTTAGGAAATATTAGTGCAGTGATAGAAAGTGCGGATATAGATTCAGTTTTTGTTCTAGGTGACTTCAATTTCACTTTTCGCAACGAACTATTACTGTCATGAGCAGTCATTAAGTTGTGTTGACATCGATGTTCTAGGTAAGGAATCCGACACTCGCACATTTGTAAGCGATGCGCACGGGACATGTCGATGGCTCGACCACTGCATCGTGACTGCGGCCGCCGCTAGCGCAGTGAGTAGTGTGTGTGTATTATACGACGTCTACTCGTCGGATCACTTTCCGTTACTTGTTCAGTGGACTATTAGTACAATTATACCTATAGAAGCGACTAATTTAATTAGTAACAAGCCAAAGATAGTATGGGGCAATAGAGACTCGGCGGAAATTCGGAAATATAGTACCTTATGCGATTTTAATTTAAATAATCTTCTAAGAAAAATTAATTTTTTTAATAATAATATAATATGAAACTGTGATATAGTGTGTAAGAATAGTGAATATTGTACTTCAATAAATGAATTTTATAATAATTTTATTAAGATATTACAGACTAGTGCAGAGAATAGTTATAGGCAAATAAAAGATAAAAAGCCATTTGTGATTGGTTGGAACTATCACGTGAGGCATCTACATGTTAAGGCTAAATTAAAGTTTAGTGTCTGGGTTGCTGTTGGCAAACCATCTTCTGGTTATTATTATAATGAAATGTTTTCTGCTCGTAAGGAATTTAAATCCGCACTTAAATTCATTCAAAACCACCAAGAAAAGATAAAGTTAGATGTATTGGCCCGAAATAATAAATCGAAAAAATTTGGACAATTTTGGAAGGAGGTGAAGAAATTAAATCCTAAAGCGGGTCGTCCTTTTAGTATCCAGGGTGAGGTGAATTACACAAAGATAGCCAACCTTTTTAAAAATAATTTTAATGTTGACGTGAAAAATGAGCAAGTTACACCGTACACCCCAATTAACTACTCAGAATCATACCTTGTTGAGTATAGAAACATTTTATGCTCAACTGAATTTCGAGAACTGCCTAGTTACGGAGGAGGATGTGGTATCCGTCTTACGTAGCATGAAAAGAGGAAAGTCTCCGGGATGTGACTACCTGAGTATACCTGAGGTCTGTTGCATGCCGGTCAGTATATTTGTGTAGTCCTCTCTGCATTATTTAACTTATACATGCGCCACTCATACCTGCCAAATAATCTATTACGTACCATTGTGGTGCCGATTCCGAAGTGTAAGACTGGAGATCTCGCAAGCATGGCTAATTACCGACCTATATCTCTCGCCACTATTGTGGCCAAGGTATTTGAGCGTTTGATTCAAGCCAAAATTACACCCTACATATCCATTGACGATGGTCAGTTTGGTTTTCAACCAGAGCTATCTACTGATATGGCTATTTTTGGCTTAAACCAAGTAGTAAATTACTATGTAGATCGCGATACTATATGCCTGCTTTCTTGATTTGAGTCGCGCTTTCGACACCTTGAATCACGATCTGCTATGGAAGAAGCTAATATCTAATAACGTTCCTGATGGTATTGTTGACCTGCTCACTTATTGGTATAAGAGACAGATCAATAATGTAAAATGGGGTGACTCTCTGTCCGATGACTACTCGCTGACTTGTGGAGTAAGGCAGAGGGGGGCTTACCTCACCCGACTTCTTTAACATCTATGTGAATGACTTGATCGTGGAGCTGAGCAGAACTCCAGTTGGACTTAGGCGTGGTAACCGTTATGTTAACAACCTTAGTTACGCTGACGATATGGTTCTGCTCAGTCCTACAATCAAAGGTATGCGGAAATTAATATCCATATGCGAAAAATTTGTTAAAGATCATAGTTTAATTTATAACGCAAAAAAGACGGAGATGGTGATTTTTAAGGCGGGTAAGGGCCCAACTAATGTACCTGAGGTGTACGTCGCGGGTCAACCCATCAAAATAGATCAAACGTTTCTAATACCTCGGTCACATAGTGACAGCGAACAGAAAAGATGATTGCGATATAGAATGACAGAGAAGAGCTTCGTCTGTCTGTGTCAATATGATTGCCAGGAGGTTTTTAAAGCCTCCAAGGAGGTTAAGACTATGCTATTCCAAACGTACTGTCAGTCTTTCTACACCTGCCATGCCTGGACTGAATATACGGGGCGATCTTTGAATGGTATTCGTGTGCAATATAATAACATCTTTAGAATGCTTATGGGTCTCAAACGCTATTGCAGTGCTTCAGGCATGTTTGCCGAAGCACGAATTAATACGTTTAATGCCATTCAAAGATTCAGAATCGCATCATTCATGTCCAGCGTTGATGAGTGTAGAAACAAGATAATTAGTGACTATGCAGTAAGACTGCCGGCCACAGCCTTTTATCAAAAATGGCTTAAGATAGCTGCTTGACATGATGGTTCCCTCCATTTAGACTTAGATATTATTATAATATAATTATTTTTTAATTCTTAGCAATTCTGTACTGTATTGTCTTTTTTGTTGGTAATTTATATGGGTGCAATGTGCCTGAAATAAAGAGAATTTATTTATTTTTATCCTTAGCTAACGAGCAACGGCAGTAACTGTCAGTACAAAGCATTTTCGACCGGGAGACCGTATGGAAGGAGAAGGAGCTCCATGGGAGGTACTACGGGGCGCTACATGAGCCCTCCTTAGATTCAGTCACCTCCCTCCACTGGCTACGTTTCGTTGACCTCTTCGGGGAAACCGTGGGTTTTGTCTGTGCAATACACGATCAGGATATTAAGACCAACAACTATCGGAGATACATCCAAAAGGATGGCACCATCGACATCTGTCGAGTTTGTCGCCATCCCGGCGAGTCACTTAGGCATGTCATCTCCGGTTGTCCGGCACTTTCTAACCCTGAGTACTTACACAGGCGCAACCTAGTAGCCAGGATTCTACACTAGGAGCTCGCTCTGAAATTCGGTCTCGTGGATCGGAAACTGCCTTACTATAAGTACTTACCGGAAGCCGTGCTCGAAAATTACTGTCTTGCGAATAAACCTGATATTGTGCTGATGGACCGGGCACAGTCAGGGATATGATTGTTCGACATTACCATTCCATATGACTAGAACCTAATGAAAGCCGAATCAGATAAGAAACAAAATATCTGGACCTGGCTCATGGGGTGACCGACATGTGGGGTGTCTGCCGACCAAAATTATTCCTGTAGTCGTCTCTGCGAATGGGCTAATCCCAGTTAGCCTCTCGGGTTATCTGAGGCGACTGGGACTCCGTGACGGACCGCTCCGGGGTCAAATACAGAAGGCGGTGTTCCTCGATACCGCCCGCATCGTCCGCCGGTTTCTTTCCCTTTCTCCCTTACCCTCGGCCATTTGGTCTCCACTGCTGAGGGCTTCCATCTGGATGGGCTTTTATTTATTTATGTATTTTTGTATTTATTTTATTTTATTGATATTTATGTATATTTATTATTCTTATTCACAATTATATATTTATGAAACCAAACCGGATTAGAAAAACATATACATAACCCAAAAAAATTCTTTATTATCTTTGAATGATATAAACGATAAACACGTTTATTTAGACAACTTAGCGATCGCACCGCTTCACTAATTTGTCCATATTTCTGGGATACTATTTTCTACAGTGATTGTTCTCCTTCTCTCTAACCTCCATGTTTATGAGGATGGAGGTTATAGAACGGGAGCACGATCGCTACGTGCTAAAGCATAGCTCGCTTGTCCCTGCCGAAAGTTTGTAGAATTTATAGCCGCGCTGCCGTCGATAAGTAGTATCTGTAAAGTAATTTTTTAATTATTGACAAAAAGAAACATCTTCTATAATTTCATAGTTTTCATAGTTCTATTTTATAGTTAAAAATGATGAAATAATACAAAATAATAATAATAAATCAATAATAATTAATAATTTATATTTGTAATATTTTATAATATTTATAATTATTAAAAATAGAAAAAAAAACATAATTTCTAATTTATTTATTAAAAAATAATACTAATAATTTCGTTATTTTCTTTTTTTCTTTGAATGATGTTATAATCATTTCAAACTTTCAAGCAACGGCCCACTTTTATTGACACAACTTAGCGATCGCAGTGCCTCACTTATTTTGTCCATATTTCTGGGACACTATTTTCTACAGCGATCGTTCTCCTGTTACAAACGAATAAGAGTATGTTCTCCTGTTCTCTAACCTCCATGCTTTTGAGGTTGACGATTTTTAATGATTTTAAGACAAAGGGATTGGTGCCATCCAACCTTTTCTGACTTTTCTTACAGAATTCCGCAAATTTTTTTAATGTATAACACTGTGAAGTTGTTGGATTTTGACAAAAGCGAGAGTCCATTATTACGATATATAAAAAAAGTAACGGGACACAATAATTTAAAGATTGTAATATTATCTTCAACGTTTATTTTTCATTATTCGATAAAGGAACTAAAAAATAAAAATTATTTCTACATAATACATTCTGAAACCGGGACTTTATTTAATATATATACAATGGCTACTCAAAAAGTTTTGTGAAAAATGATTTTACACTGGCTAGTTGTAATATGTTTTAAAATGGCAATTTTTTACAAGCCAAAATATGAATGTCGAATTTCAAATTTCCCTCGTTTTTTATACCAGCTAAATTTAAATATCTTGTTTCATTGAAAAATGTTTCTGTGTCAATAACAGTAATAGAACGAAAATCAAACTATTCGTTACATAGACTTCATAGATTGGCAATTATGAATTAAGTTACTTCTAAAGCACCGTGTACGCTTGTATAACGCTTGTTAAATTGTAAGCGCGCTTTATTAACTCTGAAAGAAGTTGTCACCCCTTGATGACCGTTACGAAACCACAAATTAAAACCACTAAAAGAAGCCACTCATACTGAGTGACTTCTTTTAGTGGTTTCTTTAGTGGATTATTAACTAACCGCCTTCATTTGTTAGTAGTTGAGATTTCTCCTTCTCCTCTCGTTGTAGGACGGATTACTGCACCGGTAATAGATGTTTCGCATCTTTGACGGTGTTCATTTCAACACGCATTTCATTCGTTTTTAAATGAAATGCTTAAAATATTTTGAAACTTAAAATGAAACATATTTATTTTTGTTTTTAAATAAAATATAGTTTGCTAGTTGCTACAAATCTAGCCACAACAAACTATAAGTTGGTCTATTACGGTCTATGAATATGAATCTGTGATGGGAGTTTTGGCTGGAACTTGGCCGTCGACGGATTGTTGCTCCTGTTTTGTCCCTTGAATAATCGTTTGAAGTGGATTTTGATTTGTAAATATGATGCAATTTTATGAATTAAGTGTCTGCACGTGTGATCTATTGGAAAAAAACAAGGGTCGGCTTTAGTAATCTGCTGCACGATTTAAGTGATCATTTTAGCTTTAGTTGACAGGCAATGATGCTATTGATTACCGTCTAGTTGCTTTTTATGCCTCTGAAATCTATAGTTTTCGAAATTTCGATAGTTAAAGTTCTGAGGTTATATCCTTTAATTTAAAAATCAGATATTATATAAAAAGGGGGAAGTGCCGGAACCCTCCCCCCCTTTTTATGATTTTTTTAATAATCTGCCGCATCAATATATGGTCGCCGAGTGGAGGGGGTGGGGGCTGGGATAGTTTTATGCCGGAAATCTTCAGTTTTCGAGATATCGATTGTTAAAGTTTTGAGGTTATATCCATTCATTTAGAAAATCAAATGAACACAACACAGGTCCGTTAGGCGCAACCTAACCTAACCTGGGGCTTACCGCCAGGTTATGTTAGGTTAAGTTAGAGCTCCCCCCCCCCGAACGGGTTCCCGCCTTGTCGTGACGGGGGGGGGGGCTTAGTAGCCGTGGCTTGGTTACCCACGGTGAACAAAGAGGAACCCACATGGCTGGCCCGAGGTGAAGGGCCGGCCCGAGGTGGCCACTCCAAGTGGGCTTGGTGAGCCCACTTGAGATGTGTGCTGGTGGACTGCGGCGAAAGGGGTGTCCTCACCCCCTACCGCTGCAGCCGAGAAGTATTCGCGGAGGAAGAGGAGTGTTGGTATGCTGATGCGCCACTTGCCCTATCTTCCGCGACTCAAACGGGGCCGCACCGTTGATGCGGTGGTGGTTGGGCTGCGGGGGAGAGGATTATCAGTATTGCGAGGCACCGCTCTCCCTAACCGCAGCCGAATCTTGGTTGGCGGTGGAGCCACAGACCAGATCCACCGCTGTCAGGAAGGCTAGTGCTTCTAAGTGCTCGTTTTTCCTGGCCCCATGGCCTACGCGCTGTGGACACGGGGCGTCAGTTGCGCAGGTTTAGTTGAAGGCCGTGGAGGAAGGTACGCCATGTGTTCTGGTGCGCCTTACCTGGGAAGGAGAACGGGGAGGAATATTCCTCTCCCGAAGGAGGTGCCGTCATGGGGCGGCAGGCGCTGGTGGGGCTGCGGATGTATGCGAAAGCGTTCCCGTAGCCCTGCCAATATGCGACGAAGGTGGAACACCATGGGGTTTTAGCCGGTCCCCGTGTAAAAAAAGGGTTAGGTTAGCGCTGTGACCACAACGCACGAGCCAAGCGAGCGTAGCGAGCGTGGCGCGAGAGCGGCCGGTGAAGCTTAACCGAACCGAAACTATAAATAACACAGGACCCAGCAGATTTTGTGACAGACAGAATGTGTCTTTTTCGCCAGACGACCTTTTTAATAAGCGGAAGCGATTTTGCCTTAATATGTAAATATGTAACGTAATTAAATTCATAAAATAGAGGAGTTTTGGGGGGTGCCGGCGCTTCTCCCTTTTAGGCGAAGGTTCCTATCCCAGCCCCCCCCATCGGTGACCATATATGCATGCGGCAGATTACTAAAGAAATATCTGATTTTTAAATTAATGGATATAACCTCAAAACTGTAACTATCGATATCTCGAAAACTAAAGATTTCCGGCAGCATTTTAAAGCAGCTAGATGGTAATCAGTAGCATCATTGCCTGTCAACGAAAGGTAAAATTATCACTTAAATCGTGTAGGAGATTACTAAAGAAATACCGAAACAAGTGCTTTAATATTGATATAAACCACACGTTATATTGATCACTTGGGCGCCTTATTATTAACTTGAGGGTTTCTCGTCATCAACTGTCCGCTGGGATGAGCTGTCGTCAAAATTCAAGTATTGCAAAAACTTTGCGATGTGATGCATCAGCATATTGTGAAAAAGAAATATATAAAAATGAAGATTCCGAAAGAAATGATAAGTTCAGAAGGCTAGAAAACAGAGCATTAAAGCCAGTTAAATATAGAACATATGAACCTGTGATTAAAAATATGGCAACAATGCGCAGCAATGTAGAATGATGAGCACTGATGAGCATTATCTATAGTTTCTCGTAGACAGAGAAATCTATTCTCTGTCTATACTCTACTCTATGATGTCTAGTATATATACAGTAATCTATGCTATGATCTATAGTAAAATCTATCACAACTCACAAATTTAAGTTTGGATAGATTTTTTCTAATTGTAATTTTAGCTTTGAAAATATCTTTCGGTTATTTATTATTCAAAATGTTATTTTGCAATGCTCGTCAGTTCTAAATAGTTGTTATATCAATTTATTAAACCTAAAAAAACCGACCTTGGTGTTTTAACAGCTGTCAAGCATTAAAAATCAGAATGAAATAAACAAAAAATTTCTCCCTTATTTTCATTATGAGGAACGTAGATTCTCATCTTCTGGAAGATAAAATGGATGAGGCAGTCACCCATTACATAAATTCCCATCAGTCTACAGAGGTATAAAAGTTTCCAGACTATCTACCCTTTTATATATTATTACCGTCAACGTAACAAAAAGTTTATGGTTCCTGCGGTTTTATTTGATAATTTATAAAATGCGATTCCCGTTGAATAATATTTCGAATTATTTAATAAAAATACTCATCTAAAAACATTCTTTGGTAGCCCGTGCATGTGGATGCGAATTCTTTGGCACTCAACGTACAAGACGACAACGGTGGGAGAGTAGTCACAGTGATGCATCCACTTAGCTTTTCAGCAACACAAATGTGCAGGTAAGCCAAGATGTTATTGGTAGTGGTGGCCAAATGTATATATGTTCATCAGTACCGATATGCTCTTTGGTTAAATTTCTTCTCTAGCATTTTAGCACTTTTGATAGTAACTATAAGTGTTACTCAGAAGGCATTGTTTTTCAACTAAAAAAAAATTATCCTGGATCACTGGTAAACAAGGAAAGGTTTGTGCTAAGTAAATAGGAGTGCTTATTAATTGTTAATAGTTTATTATTATTTAAACTGAATAAATGGTGCAAGTATGAGATTGAGCGATGATTAAATATTTGCATAATATGCTGTTAGGGACTATTGCCCGTATGGTCTTTGTGTATTGAAGTTTATAAAGGAACTGTATCCTCGACATGTCACTGCCGCTTGTAACTAAAACATTATTATCTCACTCAAAGGCTAGCCGTTTGGCAAGGATATGCAGCTACCATTCTTGGCATTATATTGCAGGAAGTAGGACTGTATGATATGTTTAGTTTTTTTTAATTAACTTGGGTAATAAATTTTATATGGTACACCAAAAAAAAAAAATTAAAAGGACAAAACTCAGGTTTTGCAATTAAGAATACTTAAATACATAATTGAAAATTTTACAGTGTTAACATATTCGTAACATCATTGCTTTATGAAGCAGATAATTATCATGTCTTAATTATTTCTTGTTTGTAAGACTAAAGGAGTTATAATGAGTTTTTGTTTGTAAGACTAAAAGGATTTAGGGGGATAATAGAGTATAAACATTTAAATAAATGTGTAGGGAGACTATGATGGAATGCTTCTTAAAATATGGTATTCTTTTTAAAATAAGGTGTGAAAAAAATTAACTATTATACTATAATTTAATAGTTATCATTTCACTACTATAATTTATACATTGCGTATTACTCTTTATGCAGTGTAAAAGACCTAGTTGTAGACGATTTAATGAACAGGTGACTACTATTTTATCATAAATAGGGCAACATATGAGCAAGTTCACACTATATATTTTGCAATCTCTATCTATCTATATATGATTCTCTATCTTATAGTTACATATTCGCATAGAAATTGATATTGGATGGCAAAGAATAGTTCTAGAGAGGCAGTCTCATACTGGTAAATGGAGTGTAGGGCAGCCCTCCAACTAAATGGGGTCAGGCCTCTGTCACTCTTGCTATCTGTGTGAAATAAATGCCTACAATCGTTTCGGGTTGGCATATGCAGTAAGGGCTAGTGCGATGTATAAGTGAATTTCAGAGTTTTTTAACACTTTATGTAAATATATTTTTAGTAAATACTTGTATAGATACTTTGTTTATAGTTTAGTGTACATTTAGTTATAAGATAAAATATTTGTTTATGTTTTAATGTAAATATACATATAATGTATATTATGGAAAATATATTCATTATCAATGTTGAAAACAAATAGTAATAATGTCCTCCAGACCAAATTTAGGTCACGGGGGCCAGCCTCTACAGAGTCTAGCCAACGGCGCAGTACAGGATTATAGTCCCCAAGTGTATGTACAAGCACAGGTGCACTCTCTATTCTCATACCCTCATAGTCTGATGGGACGGTAAACCGACACAACTAGAGAGAGATCAGGTGCAGGACCAACAGCTTTACGGGCTTTCTGAGGCACAGGGGTGAGACACCGCTCACTCCTTGACTTCAGGCAGCTACTGAGAATTTCTTGATGAAAACATATAATAATCGAAAACATATATAATTAAGATAAAACCAGCAAATAATTTACTAAAATTATGAACGACTATTAATTTTATCACTTGATGTTAATGTTTTACTCCCCTTTTTACTTAAAATTATATCTTAGATTTAGAGATGTTTTCCACTTTTAAATTTAATAACCATTAGTTTAGAGATGGTAAAAATATAATACATTATATTAAAGTAAAACAGATGTAAATTTAATAAATATTGAAAAGGTACTATAACACACAAACATAAACACTCACGCCTGTCACCCAGAGGGGTAGGCAGAGACTACAGACTTCCATTTGGCACGATCCTGACACACCTCTCTCGCCTCCTTCACATCCATACATCTACGCATGCATGCTCGTCGGTTAAGGGTACTCCTAATTTGGCCCGTTTTCAATAAATCGCCAATTTGGTCGATAAATTTTCGCCTAGGACGTCCCTTTCCGACTCTGCCATTCACTTCTGCAACATAAATTTTCTTTGTCACTCTTTCCTCATCCATTCTTTCCACATGACCAAACCACCGAAGCATTCCTTTCTTAATCCTGGTCACAACATCATCTTGCAAACCACACTCTTCTCTTATCACACAATTCTTCACCCTGTCATTCAGATTCAGCCCTAACATACTCCTTAACGACCGCATTTCTACTGCATTTATTCTACTCTCGTGCTTCTTCTGCCACACCCAACTTTCACTACCATATGTTAAAGTAGGGACCAACACAGCATTGTGAATTGCCATACGTGCCTTTTTTGACACATTTTGACTCTTCACAATAGAGTGCAGGGCCCCATTTACTCTGTTTCCTGCGTTCACTCGTCGTTCTATATCCTTATCATATCTCCCATCCCTGCTAAATACGCAACCCAAATATACAAACTCATCTACTTGCTCGATCAACTCCCCATCTATTCTTATTTCACATATTGTTTTACTTTCATCTCTTTCAAAAACCATAATTTTCGTCTTACTTGCGTTCACTTTCATACCCCTTTCTTTTAATGATCTGTTCATTAATGTAACCATCATTTGCAACTCAGCCGCCGACGACGCAAGAATAACTTGATCATTGGCGTGCAAAACGCATTTGATGGTTAACTCACCCATTCTTAATCCGCATTCTTCAACTTTCAAATTTTGCAAACAACTGTCCATAAATAGGTTGAACAACCACGGGGAAGCCACACAGCCCTGTCTGACACCTTTATAGACGCCAAACCAGTCGGAGTAGACCCCGTTGATCCTAACACAAGCACTAGAGTCCCTATAAAGAGATTCCAATGCCTGTATCAAGCCAGCGCTCAACCCAAATGAGTTCAGTGTTTGCCATAGCACATTCCTATCCACTCTGTCATGAGGCCTTCTCCAAGTCCATGAACGCACAAAAAACCTTTTGGTTTTTGGCCAAAAACTTCTCCGCGATCATGCGCATGGAGAAGACTTGATCTGTACATCCCATTCCCTTTCTAAATCCCGCTTGCACATCCCAAATTTTTCCATCGGTTTCTTTCATGACCCTTTCAATTAGTACCTTGGTATAAAATTTTCCCACAATGCTAAGAAGGCTGATACCGCGGTAGTTTTTACAGTTCTGCTGCGACCCTTTTCCCTTATATACTGGGACTATCACGGCTTTGCACCAAAAGGTACTGTATACATACGAGGGTGGATTGAAAAGTACTCGGCCTAACACAGATCCATTCAATTCTAAAAATCAAATCTACCCACATTATTTAATTCAGTTCAGACTAGTTCATTGTGTGAAGTTCGAAATGTGTGCGATAATTAGTTGTGATTTTATAAATTTATTAACAAAGTAGTCGGACATAATTTCCGCGAATGGAGCAAATCGAGCAGCGTGCCGTCATTAAGTACCTCCATAAGAAGGGGCTATCATCAAAAGCCATCCATGATGACATGGTCAGTACATTAGGCGATTGTGCTCTGTCATATTCATCCGTCAAAAAATGGATAGCAGAATTTAAGCGTGGTAGAGAGAGTGTGAAAGATGAACCCCGCTCTGGAAGGCCTTCGACGTCAAGTACTGACGAAAATATTAAAAAAGTACTTGATTTAATAATGGGAGACCGCAGATTAAAAATTAGAGAGATAGCCGAGATTATAGGCATCTCTTATGAACGAACTCAAAACATCATTGTCAACGAGTTGGGTTTCCACAAGGTGTCTGCGAGGTGGGTTCCGCGACTGCTTTCAGTTGAACAAAAAAGGACGCGATTGACTATTTCACGCGACTGTTTGGAGTTACTTGAAGCCGATGCAGATGATTTTTTGAATCGTTTTGTTACTATGGACGAAACATGGGTTCATTACTGTACACCGGAAACAAAACAACAATCAAAACAGTGGAGAAGACCTGGTTCACCACCCCTAAAAAAGGCTAAGTCGATTTTGTCGGCAAATAAGGTGATGGCTTCAGTATTCTGGGACTCGAAAGGTGTGATTATGATTGATTATCTTGAAAGGGGTCAGACTATAAACTCTGATTACTTCTGCACCTTACTACGTCGTTTACGAGAGGAAGTAAAAGAAAAACGTCGAGGAATGCTCAGAACAAAAGTCCTGTTTCATCAAGATAACGCCCATGTTCACACGTCAGTACAGTCAATGGCTGAAATTCACAACTGTGGCTTTGAACTGTTACCGCATCCGCCGTATTCACCTGATCTGGTACCATCAGACTTCTTTCTGTTCCCTAACCTAAAAAAGCACTTGGGAGGTCAAAGATTTTCGACAAACGACGAGGTCAAAGCAACTGTAGACGCATATTTTGACTCTAAGGAAGAATCATTTTTTTTCAACGGTCTAAATGCTTGGAAGGGGAGGTGGCAAAAGTGTATTGAACTTGATGGTGATTATGTAGAAAAATAAAAATATAACTGATTTAGTATGTGTTTATTTTCTTGGTTAGGCCGAGTACTTTTCAATCCACCCTCGTACTATATTTTTTACTATTTGTTGTTAGCCCTTGGTTATCGCGAAATATCGTCCGTGACATAGGAAGGAGAAAAGATGCAAAGCCATACGGACACTAGTGCGCAGTGACAAGGTTTAATTTAGCTTGTGCGTCATTTATCTAATTAATAATAATTATGTAGGTTATTAAAAAGTCGGCAAGTAGTGAATATCAAAGGAGTGGAACTTCTGCACGTAGGAACACGTTCTGAACGTCTACACTGCGTGTGTGCGTGCGTACATGTGTATATGCGTTATTTGTAGGCCCTGTCTTGATTTTTGTTTGCCATTCAATAACCATAATTTTTTATATTAATATTATTATTTTAATTACCTTGCAATCTTTACTAGTTTAAGAATAAATATTCAAATCTTTGTTTAAAAAATTATACTTTATTAGTACTGTTTTGCCTGTTGCTATCTAGTAAATTCTGTTTTAACTGGAGCTATGTTAGTTTTTATTTTCGAATTTAGGTTTATATGCAAGAGATTTGTGAGTTAGATAGATAATTAAATCTAGAAATAATCTACAGTAGATTATTTAATAAAACTAATTATATCTTAGTATTTTTTTTATTCCTGTCATTTCAAGCCTTCACAAAACCCACGGTTAAAGTGAGGGGTAAAACATTGTACCTGTAACTCTTAATCAAGGCTGTTTAACAAGGCTAATTACTAAAACTTAAAACTTTTCCTTAAACTATTTAACCTGCACAATAACTTTATCTTTTTCATTAAATATCCAGGCAGGTGTCGGTGAATGAACAAGTTGGAGAAGGGCAGTGGAATGAAGAACTGCTGGATCCTGAGGGAAGGTTGGCAGCATTAGTAGCGCATTTGGCTCAGCATTCTCGACCTTCACATCATCTGCCTACTCACCATAAGGTGAGGTTCATTTGTGAAGACTAAAATTCAGACTAAATGCATCTCTGAAATCTTTTCCCTCCTGTTTCGCCTATTTTTTTATTGTTTATTGTTATTGGGTCCTTACATATGAAATTAGCGTTTTGTCGTACTGACCACTTTGATCTCAAATATCTCCTCTTTGGTTAAGAATTCCAAATTTAAATTTATAAATTCATTTAGCTGGTCCATTTGAGTTTTGTAAACAGTCATTCATTTGTTTGTTTGGTTGTGCTTATTACCGCACATTGGAAAACATGAAATATCGGCATATTTACGAGTACGAGTTCTACCGTGGCACCAGTGCTGCATAAACAGCTTGAAGGATTAATGATGTGTACGGCGCTGGTGTCGCAAAAGAAAGCACGGTACGTTTTTGGTTTCAACGTTTTTGTTCTGGAAATTTCGACCTTCAGGACCAACCCCGTGGACGGCCGGAGACCAAAGTGGAAAATGAAGAATTAAAGGCTATTGTGGAAGCAAATCCATCACAAAGCACTTCAAAGATAGCTGCAGGCTTCGGCGTAAGTGATAAAACTGTATTAATCCACTTGAAGCTAATCGGGAAAGTAAAAAACGTGCACACACTGCACAACAAACAACCACTAAGTTAGATGATCTACAATTGGAACGTCTGCGACATCCACCGTATTCCCCGGACCTTGCTCTAACAGATTTTTTCCGGATATAGGACAAATTCTTACAAGCAAAAAATTCAACTCTGATGCGGCAGTCCAAACCGCCTTCAAAGAGTTTATTGATTCTTGCCCCTATGGTTTTTTAGTAAAGGGATCAATGAACTATCTATGAGATGGCAAAAGTGCATAGATAACAATGATGCATTCTTTGATTAACTAAATATATTTTACAAAAAAAAATTGACTTCATATTCCTCCCGTACAAAACGCCAATTTCATAATATGTAAGGACCTATTATATTGTTAATCTATATAGGTAGGTTAGGACGGGATGACGGTGCCAAGGTAGTGACATATACATTAACTATAGCCGTCTGTCCACAGCAACCCGTCGCACGAGCGCCTTCATCCCGACCGCCGAAGTTTAGGTAGATCGGCGCGACCCCTAGAACTTGGGCCGAGATTGTGACGGGCTGATGTACCGGCAATACAAAACACGTTCAAACTTGCCCATCCACGTCGACGCACTACAGCTACCACTAACTGACTGAACCACCGAGATCGTTGAGATGGGCAAACGATCGCCGTCACGTCATTTTGATCTCGCCCAGAAATAATCTCGTTCTCGTTGACGTCCCTTTGACGGCAGCGGTGGACAATCGCCCTTAGCCTTCGTTGTTTGAATTTGTCTGCAGGTAACCATGGACTGTAATAACCACCATCAGGTGGACGGAAAGTTTGCTTGTCACTTCAGTTTTATTTAAAATAAAAAACATTAATTCTTCTTCTTCTTCTTACTTTAAAAGAAAAATGGCTCCATCCTTTGACACCGATGATTCTCTGCCTATGTCAAGGTTGAGAAATACAAGAGGATATTACACAAAAAAAAGGAAGAATTGTTGAAGTATTGACTACTAGTAATAGAAACAATTTTTTGCATAACCCAAGAAGTTAAGATACATAAAGGAAATAAAAACCACAAGATTATTTATCAATGATATAGAAATTATACAATAGATTTAAATATAATACAGAAATTTAAATTGACACACCAATATTGTTAATATTAGTTATAATTTTATGCTATTAATATTAGACAACATTATAATTAAAGTTAATACATTATAAGTTATTAAAGCCAGGGGTGAATATAGGCCTCCCATAGACAGCTGTATAATGGAGATGTTAGCAACAGTTGTGACGCTTAGCAAGTGGGTTGTTGGCACCTACAGTTTTTCATTTTCTGGTTGTAATTAGGAATACACGGCTGCCCATATCCTGGTTTGTTTCACACTGTCGCTCTTTACAATGCCCACGGTATGATATGGGTTAGTGGACATATTATCCTATACCTTTAAACGAGCAATTCTTGTATATATATATATAAGAAGGTAAATTTTGACAGATCACTAACGATCGTAATAGCTCAGGTGGGATGTCGGTCGGGCGTGATGTCGGAGTTCCGTGGTTCGCGTCCTGTCTCTGGTTTAGCTATTTCCTTTTTTTTTCAAGCCCTATTTTTTAGTGTTTTTTAAAAATATGAAAATTTTAATAAACCTAATTGCGCTCATGATTTTTTATTCAAATAATCAGTTCAGTTTTTTCTATTCTGTGAATAAGATCAAAAAATATTATTTAAGTTTCATCAGTATGTAATTTATAAATGTAACTTCAAAAAAAAAACCGAGCAAAGCTCGGTCATCCGGGTACTATTTCATATTAAGACTGTAACATAGGAATGAGTGGGATAAAATGGATTAATGGATCTGTAACGTCAACATGTCTTATGTCATTTGTTTAAGTTAGGCCTGCATCTGATCGAGTGTCAACAACATGTTCTTCATTTTTTTCGTTTTTTACTAAAGAAATCTTTAAATGTACTTCATTTCAAGTTCATTCAACTAATTAATCCTATACCTTTAAACGAGCAATTCTTGTATATATATATATATATATATATATATATATATATATATATATATATAATCGGAATCTCGGAAACGGCTCCAACGATTTTCATAAAATTTTGTGTGCGGGGGAGTTTCGGGGGGCAATAAATCGATCTAGCTAGGATTTATTTTTAGAAAATGTCTTTTTGTCCGTGTTTTTAGGCAATAAAAAACTGCTACAATATCGTTAGAATAAGAAGGTAAATTTTTACAGTTTATTAATGATTACAAATAGCTTAATTGGTAGGTATATTGGGCGGTCACAAAATCGTAGTACCATGGTTCGAGCCCAGACCGATCGACCGAATTTTTTTTAATTTTTTTTTTCAAGTTCCTTTCTTTTTTTATGAAAATCTATTTTTCGAGCCCTTTTTTAGTATTTTTTAAAAAACAGGAAAATTTAAATTAAACTAATTGCACTCATGATTTTTTATTCAAATAACCAGTTCAGTTTTTTCTATTATGTCGCTAAGATCAAAAAATATTATTCGTATTTCATCAGTATGTAATTTGTATTTAAATATAATTTCCAAAACACACGAATTAAAAAAAAACGAACGAAAAATACCGAGCAAAGCTCGGTCAACCGGGTACTAACTTAAACTAAATTGACTTGAGAATAAGTTTGTTTCTACGTTGATTGAGTAACTAGCTAACTTACTAACATAGAAAGAACTTGGTCTTTAGTCTGAAAATATCCAAAACTGACGAAGATGGAATTCATCGTTTCCATTAAAAAGGGTCTTCTGGTTTCTACACTCACCATATAAAACACAGCAGCATTAAACTGACATTTTACGTTGGTATTCTGTGAAAGTGTGGTTCTATCCCGGTGTAGCCAACCCATACGAGTACAACAATAATATGGCTGCGTCATGACTCTAACATATATAAAATCATAGGTATCATCATTACAGCCCTTCACAAGTCCACTGCTGAACATTGGCCTTCTTCAAGAAATGCCACAAAACACAGTCCTAATCCACTTGCATTTTTCGACTTCCTGCATATGTTAGCAGGTCGTTACTCCATCTACTGGGGTCTCAATCGCTCTATATAACAGTACAAAAGCTTAGTTTTTAGTGCCTTACGTTAATCAAACTTCCAGGTACCTGCAGTCAGGAACGATGTGGATGCGTCAGTTATATTAGACACACCAATGAAACTTTACAATGGACAACATCTGGTAAGTGATTTTTTGTTAGCACGTCTAAGCGCGTATTTTGCGTATGGGCAGGAACAATGTGGTTATTCGAGCCATAATATTTCCCCGAAGAAGTTCAACAGTCCATTGATGTTGCAAGCAACTTCGGGGAGCAATCCCGGCGTGCCGAGATGTTTAGCCCTGTATGAAGCGACTTCTGGACATGTCAGCAACACGTGAGCCGCCGTTTCTTCCTCTCCCATGCATGCCCTGCACAGGGGGCTATCAGTAACACCTATGGTGAACAAATGTTTGTTAAAAGAGCCATGTCCTGTGATAGCACTTGTTACTATCCTGATCTGTGGCTTGTTCAGTCTCATTAGAACCTTGGTGATTTTTTGTTATTACCATCTAAATATATAAATAAATTTTATGTCTTTCTGTTATTTCGAAATACCTGCCTTTTATTAAGCTCAGGGGTTAGTTGCATGCTATTAAGATATGAGTAAATATTTTTGTGAGGTTATTACATTTCAAGGTCGCTCAGCGATCTATGGAGAGGACTAAGCTCGGAGTTTCTCTACGTGATAGACTTCAAAATGAAGATATCCACAGTAGAATCAGAGTAACCAACATAGCCCAATGGATCAGTAAGTTGAAATGGTAATGAGCCATTCATATGGCTCGAAAAATCGACAGCCGATGGGAAAGAAAGGTTGTCGAGTGGCAGCCACGTACTGGTAGGCGAAGTGTAGGGCGGCACCCTCACTGGATGTAGTGACGACCTGGTTAGACATGCAGAAAGTCGATGGATGCAAGTAACTCAGAACCATGCTTTGTGCCATTCTTTGAGGTAGGCCTGTGCACTACTGTGGTCTTGTGAATAACCGTAATAATGATTGATTAATCTGTATTAATTGATAATAAACATCTTACTTTATTAGGACCACCAATCAGAACCAATTGTGGTACAATTGCCATCACACTTTGCACCGCTGCCACCGTTGCAAGATATGAAAAGGTGTCAAGAGACAGACTGGTTCAATAATAAAACCAAAACAACATTAAAGGTCAGTTGCTTTGGTACTAATAAGCGAATTCTCTTAAGGAGCAATATTTTGTAGAATTTTATTTTTTATTTTATTATTATGTTTATTGACTATCTTGTTGGTCTAGTAGTCGTGAACGTGATTGCTGATCATAAGGTCCCGAGTTCGAATCCCGGGTGGGGCCAAAGTTAGTTATTATGTGGAAAAATTCTCAGTAGTAGTCCGGAGTCAGGAAGTAGGCGATGCTTCACCGTGTCTCGGAAAGCACGTAAAGCCGTTGGTCCTGCGCCTGATCTCTCTCCGGTCGTGTCGGGTTACCGTTCCATCAGACTGAGAGTGAAGGAATAGAGAGTGCATACACTTTGGCACTATGATACCGTCCTGCGCAGATGGCTGGTTTCCATTGAGACCTATCGTATGTTGTATACCTCTTTAATATTGTTGTAAATATTGCAAAGATAGTTACTAAACCTCAAATTAATGTTTAGTTTAAGTAAATAAAATATGTAATCCATCTTTCTAAATCAATTAAATTAAATTAATATTATATTGCTACGCCCTATCAGGGCTCATGTTTGGCTCTATTATATCCAACATAAGGACTATTTATGTAACCACATGATTTGAGTTTGAGACTTGCCGCCGTGACCGAAATTCGGTCTGGAAGATATTATTATTATTTATAATTATGTTTATTTCGCGGATCCCAGCTAATTAAATGTTAACATCATTAATATTTTATTGTATCTAGATGTAAGTTAGCATCCATAAATAATGCATTATTCCAGGATAATAGTCCGATGCTAGCAGAGACTGACAGTCCAGTGCTGGATATTGGTGCAAGTGCTTCTCCTGTTCAAAACAAGCAGAGCAAGAAGAGTCTGCCGCATAAAAAGAGGATCTCGCGGAAACTGAAGAGGAATGCTGGAAACAGTACTCCGCAGCAAGTGAGTTATATCCTGTTTTATTTAGTGCCCTAGATAAAAGTGGAACAAAAAGGAACATAAGATTTGAAATTTTATGATTTTATTTTATATTTGGTAGAACGATACTGCAGCTGTAGGTTGCAGCACGAATGGGTCTGCTCAACCGGGGAAGGACCACGCTCTCGCAGGATACCAGCATGAAATGGCAGCTTGATGCTACCATGTTTGGTATGGTGAGTTTAGATAACTGGAGCCGCTTTTTACTGCAAAACGTAGACCATTTTGATTCTTGAACAAGGATGGAAATGCCTACGGGCTAGCGCATCCACTTACCATCAGGTGGACTATGTGGTTGTCTATCACCTTTATTTTATATACAAAAATACAAACCCAGATCCGTCGCAACTAATTGATATATAATAATGTCACGTGTGAGTCGCGGTCTGCAGAGCTGCTATCAATTCATATTGTTAAATTTTATACATGTTGATATGAATTAATTTTCTAAGGATATAGTGGTGATTCACTGCAACTCCGAGGTGCCGCAGGAGGAAATCCTTCCAGATAACTTTGTGAATGGCGTGCCCCACTCAGAACATATACCTGGGGATGAGCACCACATCACACAAGAGGTAAATACAAATCGCATATAATTATCTATCTGTTACCATTTACAGCCTGTAAAAGACCAATGCTGAACATGGGCCCCCTTAATAGATAGGGGACATTTTGCCATAGTTGCCACGCTTTGCGCGCGATTTAGCAAACGCAATTTTTTATTATTTTGAATTGTTATCAAAAAGATGCTGATGCCCATTTCCTATTTCAATTTTCCTCTGTTACCTCTTACAACACCCGTGGCTACGATACACAGGATGTTAGTTTAAACACCCTTATCCTTGAAACCAGTGGTTTGGTTTCACTTATAGAACGTAAATTCAATGAAAAATAACATTTTTTTTGTAAAATTTCAATTTTTCCTTAATTCCTCAATTTTTGCCTGTCCTAAGCCAGGATGAAAGTATGAAGGAAAAGTTACATCACAGGTTATGTGTACCTATTGTGTTTTTATTGGATTGTTGTGTAGGTAGCTAGCGCGGGCGGTAATCTTTACAGTGATTACGTCACTCGGACGCATAGGGTATCCATGAATTTACGGACGGTGTCGGACAAAAACTTTTTAAATTTTATGAAAGAAAATAGCGTTATTTTTTTTTAAAAATTCGGATAAATATTTTTATGTTAAAGCCAACTACCTATGGTTTTAGTGACAACGGTGTTTACACTTACACCTAGTATATCGATATTTTTACACCGCCACTACATGGTGCATAATTATCTATAGAATAAATGAATTTTTTATTCAATATAGATCACAAGTAATTCTCATTGAAAGACATTTTTAACACGTTTTTATTAGCTTTGCGTGTATTTATCTGCCTATCTATGCTACTACATATGCAGATCAGTAAAAGCAATAGATACACCGTCGTGCACACACTCGCATTTTATAAATCAGAATGTACTACACAATCAATTATAAACCATATCTCTGAAAGCACAGCGTGCATTTACCATTCACCATGCTACTTACACAAAAATATCGGTCACTATCGTTGTGCTGTAAAAAAGACATTTATTTTACATATGCCTTAGTGATTTACTAAATTGGAAAGTTAACGATTGTTTCATTTATACCAAAATTGTACTGAAAATTTTTTGGGCCCTGAATATAAAATAAATAAAATATCATATGTCCAGAGAATAGTGTAATAAAAGTAATTAATAAGTAAAAAGTAAAGTAAAGTTACAGCCTATATACGCCCCACTGCTGGGCTCAGGCCTCCCCTCATTTCTGAGAGGGCTTAGGGCAAGGAAGTGTCCGCCGCGCTGCCCAAATGCGTGTTGACGAACTTCACATGTCTTCGAAATATTTTTTTTTCTTATTCCTCAGACATGCAGTTTTCCTCACGATGTTTTCCTTCACCGCCGAGCACGTGGTAAATCAGCACTTAAAATTGCAATTAACAATTTCATTGGTGCCGGCGGGGATCGAACCCGGGTTACTCGCGTTCTGTTATATTTACAGCGAGCGTTAACCATTGAGCTACCACGGCTCAAAAATAATTAATAAGTAATTAATATGTAATATGTATGTATGTAATAAAAGTAATTAATATGTAGGTAAAAATGTAACAATAACCTAAAATTTAATCAATTTACTGTAGGACCGTTGGTTACGCATCCGGCGTAGTAGTTGCTGTATAATAATCAAAATAAGTAAAAAACATTGTCGCATCGGTCTTCCTGTCGGCTTGAAACGCTTGACAAATTGGAGAATAAACTTTAATAACAATTCGCCAATCCATATTATTGTCGATAGTGGATCTGCACAAGTACACCACTAGCTAGTCGCAAGATACAGCGGCCGTACTACGCCATATATCTGCATAAATAAAGTATCATTTTGTGATATTTACTTTGCTTGTTCGGTCATTTGGCGTCATACTAAGGTAGTGGTTATGGAGCAATGTATTTGCTGCAAAAATATTACAGTGGTTGTGATTTTTGAAATCAAAAATAACGTAGTAAGAGTAAGAATTTTTTTTGACGATGAAACGATTTGTTGTTTAATATGATTTTAAAGACAAATATAATGAAATACTTTTACTTAGATATGGTAATAGAATCCATGATTAACAAAGTTTTTGTTTTGGCTTCGGTTTTTACAAGAAACCACTGAACAACATGGTATTCTGATAATATTTCACGATGACGGTCGCAAGCGCATAATTCGCGGTGACGGCCATTTGTATAGAAGCTGAGCATTTTGATCATAGCACGCGGACACAGACACGCTCCCTTGCCACTTCTCAAGTAATAATAATAATAATAATAATGTTTTATTTGCTGTAACAGTTTAAGTACTTAGAATATATGTGACCAGTGTCTCCTTTTAAGCTTGAATCAGCCTGTGCCAGGGGACACTGCTCTTCCTTAAAATAGGTCATTTCTTACAAGAAAACTTAATAAATAATAATTACGAAACAAAATAAAAATATATAAGTAACAATAATATATGTGGTCTAACAAAAATGACTTAATATACTTATTTATTTACATTTATAAATCAGCCAAAGCAACTTAAGCAACATAAGCCTGAATGCGCGCGCGCGTGTGTGTGTATGTGAGTGAGTGTGTGTGTGTGTGTGTGTGTGTGTGAGTGTGTGAGTGTGTGTGTGTGTGTGCGTGTGTGTGTGTGTGTGTGTGTGTGTGTGTGTGTTTGTTTGTGTGTGTGTGTGTGTGAAACTGAGTGGTGTGTTTGTGTGTAAAATTCTAAAATAATATAATGTAATTTAATTATTGCTTCATTACTCTAGAAGAGCCTCAGTGTCATCGTAAGACTTAGGGAGTAGCCATATCTTAAGAAGTCTTCTACATTCAAAAAAGACTTTATCATATATTCCCAATACCTTGTTTGCTGTATTATATAGATGTCCTGACCGTTTGGTATATTGTCTTTTAGCAAAGGCAGTGTTGCTTCGAGGAGCTCGTACAACAATGTCATGTCTTCTCCTATTCTTGATATCAGGATTGTAAGGCAAGGATAAATGTTTTCTTAAAACTGCCTGCATTATGTATAATTTCCTAACAGAAAGAATACCAGTGTTTTGGTAAAGACGCTCGGTCGAGAACCCCAAATTTTGAAAACACATGGTCTTAATTAGTCTTCGCTGGGCCCGCTCTACCTCAATAAAACGGGTTTTGGCAGCACCACCCCAGATAGATATACAATATATCAAGATAGATTGCACCAGCGAGTAATATATTTTAATAAGGAGACCCTTTTCAGAGCTAGTTTGGTTGTCAACCATCCTGGGCACCACGTATCTCAGCATCCTGAAGATCCAGATTAATTTTCTGAGTCTTGAGGAAATATATTCCAGCTGCGGATACCATGACAACCTCTGATCTACATAGACGCCTAGGTATTTTACTTGGTCAACTTTCTGAATTTCAGGACAACTACAAGTTTTTACATTTGGGCTAGTATTGCATTTATGTATTTTTATAGAGAAGTCTTTTGGTGGTTGTGTATTGTTATAAATACTAAAGCAAATATAATTAGTTTTGGTGGTATTTAAAGAAAGGAGGTTATTGCTTAGCCACTTGTTTATCTGTTTCAAGCCACTCTCAGCCTGTTTCCTTACGTTTTCCCATGAGTCTGCACTGAAGACTACGGCTGTGTCATCAGCGTATGAAAGGATTTGAGCATTTTTTGTTTTCATATCACAAAGGTCATTAATGTAAATGAGAAAAAGAGTAGGCCCAAGGACACTACCTTGAGGTACACCATATGTCACTTCCGAGTCTCCACTAATGAAGGAATCAAGTTTTACCCTCTGTTTCCTATTAGACAGGTAGTCCTTGAGCAAATTAAGTGGTGTTCCCTTCATACCAATTGCTTCCAGTTTACGCAGCAGGATAGGGATAGAGACAGTGTCAAACGCTTTTTGTAAGTCAAGGAATACTGCCATGCATTTTTTTGTGACTATCAAGTTTCTCAACCACCAGCGAGCTCAACGCAGAGACTGCGTCTTCAGTCGATCTTCCCTGTCTAAAACCATACTGAGAGGGAGATAAAATATTGTATCTGTTCAGACAGTTAAGTAACCGCGAATTGAGCAACTTTTCCATTATCTTAGAAATGGCGGGCAAGACAGAGATCGGTCTATAATTAGTTACACTGTCTCTATCCCCTGATTTGTGAACTGGAGTAATGATAGCCTGTTTAAATAGCGATGGAAAGGTCCCCTTGTGAAAACAAAGATTTATGAAATGAGTTAAGATCGGTACAATTTGAAGTCTTACACGCTTGAGAAATATGGTAGGAATGTTGTCCCAGCCAGGGGCACTGCTCGTTTTTAGTGACAGTAGTGTACTAGACACCTCATCCTGATCAGTGTCAAGCAAAACAAAAGAGTTTGACTGAGTTGGTAAGTTACGCAAATAATCATTCAATTCCTCTTGAGACAGCTGTACCTGTTGAGACAGTTGTCTCCCTATATTTGCAAAAAAGTGATTTACGTAATCCGCAGATGCAGCTGTTTTTTATATTTCTATGTGACAAACATTATCATTTATCATTACAGCTCTTCACAAGTCCACTGCTGAACATAACCCAAGGAATGCCACAAAGCATGGTCCTGAGCCACCTGCATCCATCAACTTCCTGCATGTCTTACCAGGTTGTCACTCATCGATGATAATACAATAATTTAATGACTATGGCCCAGTGTTCTTGCTAAGATCATCACATCTCATGATGCATGTTGTTTTGTTTTTCTTAAACTTTAAAATTATTTACTTTTACCATTGCTACCATTGCTAAAAGAAGCTTAGGTGTAAGGAAAACCAGCAAGAAACCCAGCGGGACTGTTATAAGACTTTTATAATTTAATATGTGGTAAGACTCTTTCTATATAAGAATCCGTCTGGGATACCTACCATCCGTCCGGGCTACTTACCATCCGTCTGGGTTTGTGTAGTAACAAACAACATTGTTTTACTGGTAGAGCCATGCTACAACTATATTAATTGTATAGTTGTAGCACGAATGGGTCGGCTCGACCGGGGAAGGACCACGCTCTAAATAGCAGCTTAATGCTGCTGTGTTTCGTATAGTGAGTGTAGAGAACCGGAGACCCTTTTTACTGAAAAAGAGGCATTCCATCTTAGTCCTCACGGCTGACAACGCATCTGTATTTTGATTCGCATACGAGGATAAATGTAATATCTATATCTAGCCACAGCATTCACTTACCATCAGTTGGACTGCGCCCGTTTGTCACCCTTATCCTATAAAAAAAACTTATAGTCTACCTGATGATAAGTGACTACTGCAGTTAATGGAAACAAAGAAGGTACAGATGTGCTGTCACCTCTGAGGACCAAGATGGAATGTCTCACAGTCAGTAATTATATCAGCTCTATACACTTCAGACTGAAACACAGCAGTACAGAAGTAATAAGGGGTTGATACTTACCCAGAAAGACTCCTAGGCCAACTAATAAATATTATATATGCTTGGGGTATAGGGTTGCTTGTGTTTGAAGTACTAGTTTTAAGCATTTTGTATCGGAAAATGACGAGTGTATGTTTACTTTATTTTTCCGCTCTAACAGCGATATAAACATTTTTTGGCACATATATGGCACAGTACTGTTCGTATGATATACGTCTTATTTCTCGCTTTTATTAATAAATATTAAAAAGATATTTCAGTGTTAGATTTTGGTTACTTATACGAGGTCTGTTCAAAAAGTATCGCGAATTTTAAATTTCCGCTGGCTACGTATATTTGATTTTTGATTTTTTTGTAGCCTTATGTTGGTACTCATGTCCCGTACTTATATTATGCTGAAAAGGTCGGCCATTTTGAATGTTTAGTTAATTTTTGACAGCTGATTTGCTTGGATGTGTTTTCGCTCGTCTTCGATTTTTGCCTATCCCAAAAAATGGATCAAAGAATCTGTGTTCAATTTTGCGTGAAAAACAAAATAAAGTGCTTGGACGCATTCCGAACGTTGACTGTGGCATATGGTGAAGCTGCCTTGGACCAAACCAACGTTGATCGGTGGTACAAAATGTTCTCAGAGGGCCGAGAAGTTGTGAATGACGAGCAGCGTGCCGGACGCTCGAGCACGTCAACATCAGACGATAACATTGATAAAGTGAAGAAAATATTATTAGTCAATCGTCGAATCACCGTTAGAGAAGTTGCTGAGGACCTAAACATATCGATTGGCTCGTGCCATTCGATTGTAAGTAATGATTTGGGCATGAGTCGGGTCGTCGCGAAATTCGTGCCGAAATTGCTCAATTTCGAACAAAAACAGCATTGCGTTAATATTGCTCAGGAGATGTTGAACTCGGTCCATGACGACCCAAATGTGCTCCAGAGGGTCATAACTGGTGACGAATCATGGGTTTATGGTTATGACGAGGAAACCAAAGCTCAATCATTCCAATGGAAGCTGCCGCATGAGCAAAGACCGAAGAAAGCGCGTCAAGTTAGGTCAAACGTGAAGGTTTTGCTCACAGTTTTCTTCGTAGCAGGGGCGTGGTGCATCATGAGTTCTTGCCACAGGGTGGTACAGTCAATAAGGAATATTACCTGCAAGTTAAGCGCAATTTGCGCGAAGCAATCAGCCAAAAACGAACGGATTTGTGGAAGAACAAAAACTGGCTTTTGCACCATGGTAACGCCCCTGCTCACACATCGTTGCTTGTCCGCGAATATTTATCCAAAAATAACACAGTAATGGTCCCATAGCCACCGTATTCCCCAGACCTCGCCCCCTGTGACTTTCCTGTTCCCAAAACTAAAGAGGTCCATGAAAGGACGACCTTACGCCACGATTGAGGAGATAAAGACGGCATCGAAGGAGGAACTGAAGAAGATCACGAAAAATGATTTTTTTAAGTGCTTCAGGGTTGGAAAAAACGTTGGCACAAGTGCATTATATCCGAAGGGGATCACTTTGAAGGAGACAAAATAGATATTCATGTATTAATAAGTACTTTTTGAAAAAATACAAAATTCGCGATACTTTTTGTACAGACTGTGTATATTATAACCGTGTAATCATCTTGTGGGTATCGTAAGTTAAGACAGAAGGAAATTAATTAGGAGATGGGCAGCAGGATCTTCGTGATAACGGCTCAAAATAATAAAAACCGCGGTTACCAATGCGCTTGCCAACCGTGGAAACGATGGTAAACTCCTCTATGAGGCACATTATGAGGAGCCTATGATCAGCAGTGGACTTGTTTATAATGAGTAACTTAGAATTTCGTTCTGTCTGTTCTAAAGTGTATATGGTACACTTGCTCTAAAAAGAAATTCTCCATATAAGTGGGCTTGCCACAGTTGCCACCCTTAGCAAGCGGGTTGGCAATTGCAGTTTTTTCTTCTAGCTGTTATTAGGAAGACGCTGCTGCCCAAGCGCTGGTTAGTTTCCCTCTGTCGCCTCTTACGACACCCGTGGGAAGATATGGGCTAGTAGATATTCTTACAGCCCCTACACGGTTATTTGTATGTCAGTGAAATTCTTAAAATTTTAACATTTTTAAAGTGAAAACTTCCTTAGTTGTGACTTAAAACTCAGTGACACAAAAAAGAGACACCGAAAAGAGATAAACATATACATCTATAAGATTTAGCGTGCGAGGGAATGAGATAGAATAACCCTACAATTATCCTACTCCTGACACTCTGCATTCGTCTCATTCTCTCGAAGTTTATTTTCCTGAAGGTTTTCCACCGCGTGTGAACTGCACACATGTTTATAAAAAATATATTGTATATTTATTTTATCCCTGTCTCAGATGCGGCCGATATTTATTTGCCAATTGTGCGGAGAGTTCTACGGCGATGAGCAGTTGAAATTTTACCAGCATCTTAAACAGCACTATGAACCACACGGGACCATTATCATAGAGAACTCTGTGCCTGATTTGGGGATTGACAAGGTATATTACAACCATAGAGACTATTTATAATAATACTGTCCTCCAGACCGAATTTCAGTCACAGTGACAAGTCAGAGACTAGTTAACTGCGCAGGAAAAGATTATAGTGCATGAGTGTGTGTGCAAGCACAGGTGCACTTATTACCTCACTCTTATAGTCCGATGGAACGGCAGTCCGACACGACCGGGGAGAGATAAGGAGTAGGACCGACAGCTTTACGTGCTTTCTGAAACACGGGAGTGAAACACCAACAATCTCGAATTCTGAGCTGCTATTGAGTATATCTTGACAGCAAAACCTAATGATTTTTTGAGCAGTTTTAATAGTGGTAGAGTCACGCGGCAGCTTCGGCTGTTGCACGGATGAGCCGGCTCGAACTGGGGAAGTACCACGACCTCACATAATAGCAGTGTGAAGTAAAAGCTTTGCTTCGGCCTTTCGCTTGGTTAGTGCAGGGGGCCGGAGGCCCAACGGAGTTTAATAAAAGATTACCCCAGTAGGGGGTACCAGCACCCCTGGTATTGGCGAATCCCTCACTTAGCATTCACGCCCAACTTACCTTTCTCTTCCTGAGCGTGGGTGCTCAGGCTGCCTCGCGTATTCTGGGGGGAGGGGGGGGGGCTAAATCCCGCTCACTATAAAACCATGGCGACCCCTGCCATGTTAGCTGTGGACTGCTGCAACATCAGGGAACTTCACTCGGACCTTAACGCTGTCTACTACCATCAAGGCGGCGAAACCGGTCTAACTTTTTTTGACCGAGATGTGGGTGTCCTCTTCCTCCTCGTGGGTTTCCGTTGACGTCCCTCTGGGTTTTGGTGATACGACTCACGCTTTTTTCGCGGTTGCGTTCTGCAGGTTGCCGCTGTGTTTGGCATTACAGTTCAGCGGATTGGGACAGAATGCGTTCTTTCTCTGCATTTCGCCGTATTGTTTTGCTTCTCGCCGGATGATCCCAGCGCTGTTGTTGACTCTGTCACCGATGTGATGCTACAGGGAATGGAACCATTTATTCCATCATCAGTGTTCCATTATCAGATGTATCAGAGGCAGATCTGAACCTTGGTTTGATTGCACCTGTAAGACTGCGTAATGCAGTCTTATCAGGCCAGGTCTTATCAGGAGTGTTAACAGGTCTGGGTTGACGCTTCGGTGGCTTGGGATGTAAACACCAGCCAGCCTAAAAAGAAATATAACTTCGCCTTTAGATCCTTCAGAAAAGTTATTGCGTTAAGTCAAAGTATGAGCACATTGGCAGAATTGGCGAGAAATTAGTTCGCCTTCGCGGAAACAAGTGCGTTCTGGTCTCTCCTATGGTCCTATACATATAATACTGCAATACATACATAATAGAACGGGGGGAGTGAGCGAAGCCCGTTTAGCCACTAAAATGCTACTAACACGTCAATTCACACGTATACATGTCAACGCGAGATGTGTTTTGACGTTACAATCGTTTCCAAATTTCGCTTACAAGTTATTTAGAAAATGCCAAATTGCACGCTATTTACAAATAAATATGTATTAAAGTCCGTCTGTCAACACAGCCGATCGGTTTGTAGCAGTGATTAACTGATACAACGTAATTGCTGCGTATGTGTGCTCACGGCGACGCAATTCATCGTACAAAATAAGGTTGACAGCCATTCTATTGTGTATTATAGTATTCTATGGTCCTATATGTGTTGATATTAAAGTCAGCCAGATACAAACAGTACAACTAAAGAGATTTTTCTTCAATTTTATACAAACAAAATAAAAAAAAACAAATCAAAATGAAGAAACTTTAATATATATATATATATATATATATATATATATATCTTACGTGGTAGAGCCATGCTGCAATTCGTATCTTACGAAAAAACTTTTTCCTCGATCTATTATAAAAATCAATAACTGTCTGTTAGTCTCGCTAAAACTTGAAACTGGCTCGACCGAATTTAATGATTTTTTTGTATGTATTATAATGTTTGTTTCGGTCCCTGGAGAATCCGGTAGATGGCGCTGTTGTCGAGATCTAGAAATTACCCTTTCGCGTTGGATCCTTAGTATTGTACGAGCTTAAGTTTTGTGACAATAACTGCCGTTTGAATTACCAAAATTGACACTTTAATTACCGAACGCCAATTATAATTTAAATCACACTAGTAATTAATCACACTTAACACTTTAGTTCACTTTATTTCCCTCCGAAAACTTCGCTCGTGTCGCCAATTCAATACTGCCCCGTTCGCGGCCCTAAACGGGCCTTTTCTACCGAAACATCTAGAATGCTCCAGCAAATACCAGTCCCGACTGACTAGATGTAGAAAATTCGAGTGTGGTGTTTTCTAGAAAGCCTAGTTCTTCTATTCGATACTAGATGGAGCTATTGGGAGAGTTCTAGAAAGATCTTGACGCTCCTATTTCTGCTGCTTGATACCAGATGGCGCTAATAACCACCCGCCATATACCGGGCGCCAAGTATAGCGCGCAACAGTATTATATAAAGATTCAGTGAAAAGTAGTGAATGTATTTCTTAATGTAATCCATAAATTCATCTTCCAGATGACAAATACGTGCATTGTGGACAACGTGCCATCTCTTCCGGACTCCCTAGTCGAGTTATCCTTAGAGAATACTGTGCCAAAGTCTATGTACCAACCGATGGACAAACACATAATGTACACGTCAAGCGATAAAACGCTTACGTGCCCTAGTAGTAAAGTTCAATATACAATGGCAAGCGAGAAGGAGCTACCTCAGGATAATGTGAAGGCAGATCTGTACGAGACCCTCGCCAAGTTGGAACTGTACAGCTGCACGAGGTGTGACAAAACGTTCAGGAAACAGAAGCAGTGTGAGGCGCATATAAAGGAAGAACATTCGAATGCTAAGGTAATTTTTTCACGTGTTTTTTTTAGTTTAGTCATAAGGCTGCTTATATTATGGTTGTAGTAGGAATAGGTCGGTTCTATCGGGGAAGGACCATGTTCTCACAGATTACCAGAGTGACAATAGCTTAATGCTGCTGTGTTTATTTTTACTGGAAACTAGGCATTCCATTTTAATCCTCAGTGGTGACAACGCATCTGCATTTAGATTCTTAATTGAGAAAAGATGTTGATGTGTATGGGCCACATCATTTGTCTAACCATCAAGTGGGCTGTGTGCTTGTTTGTAACACTCATTCTATAAACAAAAAAATGTAGGGAGGAATAAAAATCGAAGTGAAGGATCACGCCACAGTCTAACTACTACTAAATGTCGGTCATCGAAGGCGTCTAGACGGGGCAGTAGTGCAGTGCGGAGCGGGCAGGACGCGGCGGACAGCTCCCGAGCGTCCGTTAGTTGCTCGGGAGCTGTCCGCAAGGTTTGTAAACACTAATTGTACAACAAGAAAAATAATTGTGAAATAAAATAAAATCAGTTGTTTATTTTTTTATTACTTCCCATTCTGGCAATCCTAGCAATTTATTTTTAATATCTACTTTTCCGACAATATCAAACATGATAACTGACTGTATGTTTTTCTTAGGCAGTGACTATGCTCTTACAAAATACCAGCCCTAAATAGCAGCTAAAGCTACTGTGTTTCGTATGGAGAGTGAAGCGAACTGGAGTCCCTTTACCAAGTTTTTATAAACTCGTTTTCTTGTCTATTCGGTACAAATTTTGCTATTGATTTTCAACTGAACTTCCCGGTGAACTGGATACTTCAGAGCTGGACGACAATGCAATATAAACTCGCTTTATTGTCTGTCTGCTTGTTTGATTATCTGTTCAGTATAAAGTTAGTTTAAAATAGATTACTTTAAATTAACTTTCCGATGAGTTAGAGATTTGAAACTTCAAATATAGCTCTGGTCTACAAACATGGTTAAATGGTTGCCATTTTTAATTATAATTAATAATAGTACAGAGACATTCCATTCTGATCCTCAGGGATGCTAACGCACCTACATTTTGTTTATAATTCAAGGATAAATGTAGATGTCTATGGGCTGCAGCATACACTTACCATCAGGTGGACTGTGAGCTTGTAAACAAAAAAATATTTTGAGATCTAGATGTTCGTCCATGTGCAATTTATGCTTATAAAGTACTACCATGACATTAGGGAAATTATTACAATTTTTTGTATCTGTGTTGACTACATGATGATATTCCGTCCCAGATAACAACTTAAAATGGACTATAATTTCAGCTGGAAGACATGGGAGAGTTCAGCGAGCCCGAGGATCTGATGGAAGGCATCCATGTAGCAGTGGAGGATGGTGAACAGTACGAGCCCACCATCCTACCTCATCTGATTGTGGAGAACGGACATGTACATCAGGAGCATGTCAGGAATTGGTAATAAAGTTGAAATTTTCTTATTACATTTTTATCTATATAAAGTTTCTTCCTATTTTGTTTGTATAAAATTGAAGAAAAATCTCCTTTGTTGTACCGTTTGTATCTGGCTGGTTTTAGTATCAATACATATAGGACATTAAGGAAAAGAAAAAGAAAAAGTAAAAAATATTTTCCTGCTATTTTTCAACTGTTTTTCTGTCCCTCGAAATATGTGAATCAATACATTCTGAAGGAATTCTATACATTCTGAAGTATTATTACAAAAAAGGGAAAAATGCGAGTCAAGCCGCGAAAAAAATTTGTGGCGTTTATGAGCCTAATGCAGTGTCAGTAAAAGTAGCACAAATTTGGTTCAAGCGCTTTCAGTCCGAGAATTTTGATATTGAAGATGCAGCTCGTTCTGGTCTCGCCCTCATACGGATAAAGTCGATGCAATTTTTAAAAAGTGAAGCAAGATCGGCATATTAGTAGTTACGACATAGCCGAGGAATTGAGGATTGACCACAACACAGTTTAGACCTATTTGAAAAAGTCTAGCTATACAAGAAAGCTCGATATTTGGGTACCACACGAGCTCACTGAAAGAAACCTAATGAATAGTGTACTCATTTGCGATTCTCACTGGTGATGAAAAGTGGATCACCTACGACAAGAACGTGTGGAAAAGATCATGGTCAAAGGGTGTTCAAGCGGATTAACACGCAATAAGGTGATGCTGTGTATATGTATATGGTGGTGGGATTGGAAGAGCATCGTTAATATGAGCTTTTACCGCCGGGCAAAACCATCGATTTGGATATCTACTGCCAACAACTGATGAGACTCAAGTTAGAAATTGTGAAAAAAAAAACAGCCGGAATCAATCAGCAGAAAAGGAGTGGTCTTTCATCATGATAACGCCAGACTACACACATCTTTGGCTACTCAGCAAACATTGAGAGAGCTTGGTTGTATATAGTCCTGACCTTGCACCCTCGGATTTTCACCTGTTTCGGTCTCTTCAGAATTCTTTGGGTAGTGTTAGGTTAACATAAAGAGAGGACTGTTAAAACTACTTGTCGGATTTTATGATCAAGAATTCCAAGATTTCTACAGTAACGCGATTATATCACTACCTACAAGATGGCAATAAGTTATCGAAACAAAATGGCACTTATACAGTATGTAACAAAAACCCTGTTGGTCGTTTCAGGGACGTATAGGTGTACACATAGGCATGGCAATTATGATAATGAAAATTTTTTTTGGTTGTTTTAAATGGGGTTTTTGGGTTTCTAATAAGATAACTTAAGAAATAATAAATTTCTAAAAATGTTATTTGCTTCTGAACTTGCCACGTGCCGACATAATATTATTTACGTCACAGAATAAATAATAGTCTACCGATATGAGGTCACTGACATGGCCGACTCAAAGTAAGCCGCTAAGCGGCGCGTGCTTACCCAAGGTTTTTGTGTAAATCTTTGTACCTATCTAGACTCAGTTATTCTCCGAAAATTTAATTTCTAAATAATAGAAATTATAATGAAATGGATAATATTTCAACCCCAATACACATAGTATTTTAATACTTATGTTATAAATTTCCACTTTATTGCTAAATAGATCTACGAAAATATTTAAAAAGGTTATTTCATGCATAAAATATCGTGATTAATTCCAAATTTGCAACTATTTGTAGGAGAAATTTAGTATGTATTTTTCATGTGAAATATTATTCGATAAAGAATATGTAGTAGGTAGTATTTATTTTTTAAATAAATTCATATTGTCGTTTATTGCTAGAATATAATAAACAAAACAAAATTAATAGGTAATATACGCGGCGTTTTGCGCGCTCTTTGAACTCAAAAGCGAAAGCCGACGAAGGACTTAGGTACTAGGAAAAACCCAAAAAACTCCACTCTTCGAGTGATTAAAAGTAGCGTCCACTTTATGCCGATTAACTAATTTTGATCCAATATCTATTATTTGTTCTGTGCTAATATTTAGTAGTAATATTTAAAAACATGGGAAGTTTTATGTACATAAAATTTTGTCACAATTCAGTGATCAAGAATAAAAATAAGGGCTGTTTATCGTCGGTCGATAAAACATATAAGCCGGTGTCGCAAATGTGTGACAGGTTGACATATTGAACAACATCTTCGTGGTCGTCGTATCTATTATTTATTCTGTGCTAATATTTGGTAGTAATATTTAAAAACATGGGAAGTTTTATAAACATAAAATTTTGTCACAATTCAGTGGTCAAAAATAGAAATATAAATAAGTATTGTTTATCGTCGGTCGATAAAAAAATGCTAATTATTAGATTTTGAAAAACACAGCAGCGTAATAGTTTTAAAGTATTTGTTATTGTGTGGATTTATAACACAATTTTTTTAATGTTTCTTGTTATAAAAGTGTTTTAATGTATTTTTACTAATCCTAGCTATAATTTAATTTCTTAATAAAACTTACGGACGCTGTCGGAAGTAAGAAAATAAATAATAACTATTATTAAAAAAATAACATAAAAAAATTACGAAATTTTTTATCGATTTAGAAAATATCAAAGTTATGTTATAGAGTACAATAGCTTTGCCACGTCTATGCAAACAAACAAGCATCAAGCACCAGTAGCGCGTTAGCACTGATATTGACGGTTGTGTTTTATATTGCGAAATTAATATTCCGCCGTGAGTGACTATGTGCGATGTCTTACTCAAACGAAGAATATTTTGATATGTTGATGTGTCTCGGGAAATGTGACTGCAATTATGCAGCAGCACGAAGACTTTACGGGGAGTCCTTTGCTACTCCACGAAATATACAATTGCCGTCGGCGATGACGTTCTAACGACGACTTCACATTCGTATGTACAATACTGGCAGTGTGCATGGCGGTGATCAACAAAGTACAGATTCAGGAAGACCGAGGATGTACGACGACGACATCGAGGAGCACATTCTCGACATGTTTGAGGAAGATGCGACGCGGAGCACGCGCTCAGTGGCACGTGAACTAGGTGTGAACCATATGTGCGTTTGGAGAACCCTCAAAGATGATGGCCAGCACCCATATCATTATCGTCGAGTTCAGTGTCTTCTTCCCAACGACTACGAGCCGAGAATGGATTACTGTAGATGGTTACTCGATAATGTTGAAGGAGATCCTGAGTTTTTGAACCGCGTACTTTTTACGGATGAATGCCCTTTTGTAAGAACAGGTGTATTTAACGCTCATAATGAACACGTATGGTCAACAACAAATCCGTATTCGTATAAACCAAGCCACTTTCAACACCGATGGAAAATCAATGTGTGGGTGAGAATTATAGGTGACAAAATTATTGGTCCGTATTTATTGACCACACAATGAGCGGTGAAAACTACGGACGTTTTTTGTGAGAAGAACTAAGCAATGAACTTGACGAAATAAATTTAGACCTCGTTCGTCGCATGTGGTTTCAACACGCTGGTGCTCCACCGCATTTCAACACGATGGTGCTCCACCGCATTACTCCCGTTGTGTAAGAAGTTTTTTGGATACTAAATTCGGTGAAAGATGGATTGGCCGCGGTGGACCGGTCAACTGGTCACCTGATCTCACACCTTTAGATTTTTATCTCTGGGGTTCGATTAAGCAGACTGTATTCCAAAAAACATGCGATACCGAGGCAGAAATGCGTATGCGTATAGTTGCAGCCTTTGAAAAAATAAAGTCTGAAATGTCTGTTGCAACGCGTGCGTTCAGACATTACAAGTCGGTGTCACAAGTGTATAGAGGTGCAAGCTGGACATATTGAACAACATCTGCGTGGTCGTCAAGTAGACATAGTGATAATTTAGTGTTTGACTATAACAGCTGTCATGTGACGAGGTCACGACCTCAGTGTGCAGTTAGTGTAGGTAAGAGGCGCGCGCGCGCGCCCCGTCTTTGATGTACGTCACCGCCGGCCGCCATCCGCCGCTGTCGATAATATGAGGCAGAGGTAATCAATCCACATAAAATTTACAAATATTATTTAATTAAAATTTAATTTGATTATTTTTATGTCGAGTTTTCTGAAGTAAAGTTATTTCTATATGTTTGAATACTGATTTTGATAACGCACTTAACGGGAACCACAGGGTTTTTGTTACATATTGTATATTATAATTAAGTGTAATTAAACTGAAAAAAAAATGTCTTGAATTTTATAATATAAAATACGAAGAAACTTTCCCTGACAATTTTTTTTATATGATAGGCTGACAAACGAGCACACAGTCCACTTGATGGTAAGTGCTTGCTGGGGCCCATAGACATCTACATTTATCCTCAATTACAAATCAAAATGTAGATGCATTGTCAAACGTGAGGACTAAGATGCAATGCCTCGTTTCCAGTAAAAAGAGTCTCCGGTTCTCTACACTCACCATACGAAACACAGCAGCATTAAGCTGCTATTTCACGCTGGTATTCTGTGAGAGCGTGATCCTTCCTCGGTCGAGCCGACCATTCATGCTACAACTTTAACCTTTCAACTGCGGAGACTAACCGTCATACTCCGTTGACTGCGGAGCTGTTTAATAAAATTGACGGCGCATTGGGCGCAATCCGTTTAAACGCAAATTTCTTGATTTTAGTATATCAAATACTATAATATGTATACATTTCTGAATTCTCTATGAAATTTCCTATAAACGAGTATATAAATTTAATAAACTCCCAGAGTATAAGTGTAAGTAAATATTGAATAAAGACCAAATTGTCATATTTCTCGATGAAACAAAGTTTTTTAATACTTCGATTTTATTTTCATTTAATTTTAAATCTATTGTTTAAAATATTTTATGCGCAAAATCATAGGCTACAATAAATTTTTTTATCATAAAACGCATAAATAGTAAGATTACAAGAACCAACAATCAACTTACACCGATGAAGAATGTATTTCGGACCAGATGCGGCATTAACAATTAAACTGTCGTCGGTCACGTTTTAAATGCAATACTCTGTACAAAGTGACTGACACGGCAGTCAAAGGTAATGCATTAGTTAATAAAATTAAGTTACTAACTAGTTTTTTCTAATTTCATTAAAAATATATACTTAAATTCATGAAGAAACATTTGGTTTTATTTCCAGGACTAGTTGAACCTCTCTTTTTCCTTACATGATTCAGTCATCTTTAAATAGATCTTGCAAAGTTTTACAAATCTCATAAAGTTATGAAATAAGTATTCTTAGTGCCGATATCAAAATTTTTGACGTAAGTGCATTGAGTTACAATACCTATAGAGTCACAAACAGACAAATAAAATGTCCGCGCCAAAACTCGGCGCACGCTGCGAAGTGCGCAGAGTTTTTGTTTAGTTGTAAGGCGACCACAATCCTCGTACAACGTCCGCGATGCCAAAGTGTTCGGTGATTTCCTGCCCAAATAACAGCAGACACGTGCGAAAAAAAGGATGGTGTTTCATATTTTAGGTAAGTATCATACCAAATTTACGTATTTATGTATCCACAGTGCATGTTTTCATTTAAATTTCAATAATTTTCATTTTATTAGCAAACTAAAACACTCGCCGCCGACCGCGCGGCGCCGCGATAACGTTTCTCTTTCACACGTTAGACAAATATGCAAGAGTAAAAGAGAAACAAATAGTCACGCGTACGAGAGTGACTCGCAAATTATGTTCTAACGGTTCTATGGAGTGGATTGATACAATAAATATTTTTACAGATTTTAAACTTAATGTACTAATATTACAATGTTGTTAAATGTTTTATTTTTTAGTTTTCCGTACAAAATGTAGGTCGAAAGAGTTTTATTATTTTAAAGTATAATTACAATATGTTTTTTTTTGTTTTTAGTTTTCCTCGAAACCCCATAAGATGCTCTGAATGGACAGTTATTATAGCAAAAGCCCGAAATGAATTAAACTACAAGCCATATAAAGGGTCGGTTGTATGCTCTAATCACTTTCCTGCTTCAGACATTTATACAACAACGAAAGGTTTCAGTAGGCTTAACAAAAATGCAAAACCCATTTTACATGTAAGAACTTATTCCTTTTTAATGCTTACAATGTAATATTTTATTATAACTTTCGATTTTGTATTCTTAAAATGCGTGCATTATTCAAAAATTGCTTATTTTACGTCTTGCAGATAAATGTATGATCTATGATTTCTATTACAGCTGAATAAAAAACAACTTAGAAGTTACGATAGTTCAGATCAAGACAACACTCACGTAAACTTAGATCACGACAACAATCAGCAAACAATTAAACAAAATGAAGATAGCATTGAATTGTCTTTTGATGTAAGTTAAAAATAAATAATTGCCGTAAATAAAGTACGTATAATAAAATATAAAGGCAAAATTAATTCCTATTTATTTATTCCAGATTGATAATGAATTTGGGAACGATGAAGAAATATGCCAACAAACTAACGTTGTATGCTTGCAGGTAGTGAATTTACGTCATAAAATTGTATGATTTTAAAAAATATTTCGTTATTATCATTTTTTTATTTGCTTCAGGAGGAAAATTCAAGAAAAATCGAACAGAGCCCTTCTACGTCTATAAGTATTGGGTCTATTTTAGACACTCCCAGAAAAACTGTTATAAAGAGAAAGCTGAATTTATGCGAAAAAATGATTTTAAACAAAAACAGACAGATCAATAGACTACAAAAACAAAATAAAAGACTTATTAAAAAGAACACAACTTTAAAAAATGCCTTGAAAGTATTAAAAAGTAGGAAAGGCATTGACCAGTCGTTGTTTTCTGAATTATCTCAAAATTTAGAAGTTACCGAAATGTTCAATGCCTTATACATAAAAAATGTAAAGAAAAAGAAGAGGCCATTCAAAAAATATCCGCCTGCTGTTAGGAAATTCGCACTTACGTTCCACTTTTACTCGCCGGCAGCCTATAAGTATGTAAGGCGTCTCTATAACACATGTTTGCCTCATCCAAACACGCTATGTAACTGGTATAAGAGTGTTAACGCAGAACCAGGTTTTACAGTGGAATCATTTGATAGATTGAAGGAAAAATCCAACAATTCAGACAAAGAGTATATTTGCGCCCTAGTAGCAGATGAGATGTCAATAAGGCAACAGAAAATATGGACGGGGAAACGATACGAAGGACTAGTGGATATGGGTACAGGATCTGAAGAATCTGAAGTTATAGCTAGTCAAGTATACGTCATAATGTTGGTAGCTATTAACGATTCATTCAAAATTCCATTGGGCTATTTTTTTATAACAAGCTTAACAGCAGAAATGAAGGCTAACTTAATAAACATTGCACTGCGAAAATGTCATCAAGTTAAAATGAAAGTAGTTTCATTGACTTTCGATGGTTGTAAGACAAATATTGCAACAATGAAAATTTTAGGCTGCAACTTAAATAATAAGGAATCCATGAAAACCTTTTTTAAACACCCTTCCGCCGATCACAATGTAGCGGTATTCCTAGATGCATGTCATATGGTCAAACTCATGAGGAACGTGTTTGAATCTAAAAAAAATTATAAAAAATGGGGAACACGAAGCCATCAAATGGAAGTACGTCACCGAGCTTCACAAATTGCAGGAGGAAAAACAGCTGCACTTATCAAATAAATTGACGCACAGACATATAGCCTTCAAGAACGAGATCATGAAGGTTAAATTAGCTACACAACTTCTAAGCCGCAGTGTAGCTAAATCTATACAATTTTGTAAAAATGACTTAGCTATAGCAACATTCGATGGATCTCATCCGACGTCAGACTTCATTATGACCATCAACAACATTTTTGACATTCTGAACACACGAAACCTACAAAATTATGGTTACAAAAAGCCTTTGAGCTTAACAAACGCTGATGAAATTCTTTCATTTATAGATCATGCCAAAGAATATCTGTTATCTCTAAATATTGACATTTTGCGAAAACGAACCATTAAAAAAAAACAACGAAACAAGAACTGTGCATACCACAGAAAACGTACCGTTGTGGAAATCCCAATCAGGGACTGGAGCTCTGGGCTTGGTTATATGCCTTGAAAGCTTAAAACACTTATTTACAACACTGGTTGACATCAGTTTTGTCGTTTCTTTTGACATATAAAACTAGCCAAGACCATATTGAATTGTTTTTTGGTGATCTGAGAAGCCAAGGAGGCTATAACAACAACCCCAATTCTCGCCATGTAAAATCCGCTTACAAAAAAATGTTAACCCATCTGGAACTGAGTTCTAAATTTTCCGGAAATGCTATACCACTTGAAAATATTCCCATATTGAGTGGCGACAACACTCTTCACAATTTAAATAATACAACAATTGGCTATCGTCATGAAATTGAAAACGAAAATGACGATACTCAAATTATTTCAATCCATGAGTCTGAAACGTATAGTAATTGTGACATATTGTCGCAACAGCTTGACGAATCTGAATCTGAGTCCGAATACATTGATCAAATTGTGGGGTATATTTCTGGGAACGTTGTACGCCACATTTTAAAAAAGGTTAAGTGCGAAGTTTGTTGCAACTCTTTGATGGCTAAAGAAAAAATGACATTCCACAACTTGATTGATATCAAAAACATGGGAGGATTATTTTATTCGTCCAAAGGTGTGTTTAATTTATGCAAAAAAACCGAGCACACTATAAGACATTGTCAACGTTGTGGACTTAAGTTGAACCCACAAAAAATTATTTCTGCAGTTCTGAAATCATTCGTAGGTGCAATAGTTATGGAAGATCTAATTGAACATGCATTTGAATTTACAAACCATAGAACCATTTTAATGAGGGCAGTCATTGAACGGTACATAAACATTAGAATTCATTACATTGCAAAGAAATGTACTGAAAAAATTAAAAATCAAAGTAAAAGGCAACGTTACAATAAATTAACATTGTTTCAAGGTAATTAGGTTAGGTTAAGTTTTAGTTGTAAGTTATTAAAAGTAAGTAAGTAATATAACGCTTATACCTAATATTAATTTTGTTTTATTTTAAATTATCAGCGACCCGCGTGATCCCGTGTTTCCCGGTATAAAAAGTAGGTAGCATAAGTGATAATTTAGGGTATAAGCTATTTACATTTTCATCCGAATCCGTCGATCTGTTAGAGCACGAACAAAATACAAACATACACACTAAAACGTACATTTTAATACTTAGCATTTTAGTACCTAATTCACAAACCTTAGTGGTTTACTAGTGCTATTAATACTATTAATTATTACACCAATTTTTTTTTCATTTAATTATCATATAAAAAATCTTATAAAATGTGTTATAAGATTTTTTAATATGATAAGTAAATTAAAAAGAAATTGGTGTAATAATTTTTGAAATCAGTTGTTTAGTTCTCCTAGGTACATATAAACTCACAAACTCATATTTCACAATTATTATAAACTCCTAATAATATTAGTATAAATAGCGTCTCCACTGATGCCTTGTTCCCTGCTCGTACGCAAGCCCTTGAGTGAATGATGATGACATTGCATACGAGCGACTTTGAACATTATACAAGCAGGTTAACGTCTAAATTCGAGCAAATGTCATTTTGAACTATATAATATCAAAATATATAGGTATATGGAACGGCGCTCGGACATTTTTTGAGTATTGTCAGTTAGAGATTGTGACTCTATAGGTATTGTAACTCAATGCGTAAGTGCCATATTTATTGAAAAATTAATTACTTTATTTGGGCAAACAATTTTCAACAGCACTTGTAGAAAAATAAAGATTCATTCATTCCTTTAAAAGCCATAAAACCACTCAAGGGTCACTCCCGTGGATGTAGAGTCTAAAATAACGTTTTTTGTAAACAATACTCAATGCGCCATAATAGTGTCGATTGACAAAGGCAAAGCCCTTCAGAGGCGCCGCGGGGTGCGCGGCGATTATATTACATTTCCAATAACCAACATAATTTTAGCAACATTATTTCTCAAAAAGGTAATATTTCCTTTAACACAAATAATATCTACTAAATAATAACATTTAAAATCTCTGAAATAAAAAAATATTATGGATATATATTTTTAAAGAACCCAACTCTTATGCTCCAAAAATATGCCAAAATTAAAGTCCGATTTTGCACTTTTTGTGCATTATGTACTAGTTCATTAAAACATTTTTTATACGTGGTAGAGCCATGCTGCAGTTATATTAGTAGTATAGTTGTTGCACGAATGGGTCGGCTCGACCGGGGAAGGACCACGCTCTCACAGAATACCAGCGTGAAATATTAGCTTAATGCTGGCTGTGTTTCGTATGGTGAGTGTAGAGAACCGGAGACGGTTTTTACTGGAAACGAGGCATTCCATCTTAGTCTCACGGGCGACAACGCATCTGCATTTTCATTTGTAATCGAGGGTAGATGTAGATATCTACGGGCCGCAGCAACTACTTACAATCAGGTGGACTGTGTACTCGTTTGTCACCCTATTCTATAGAAAACATACAAAATAAAAAGGTGCATTCATTTCAACGACGAGAACCGTGATGGCTCAGAGGAGCCCCAGGAGGTAGCTCAGACGGTTAGCTCTCGCGTTAAATTTCACAGAACGCTAGCAAACCGGGTTCGATCCCCGCTGGCGTCAATGAAATCGTTAATTGCAATTTTAAGTGCTGATCTACCACGTGCTCGGCGGTGAAGGAAAATATCGTGAGAAAGTCTGACTGTCTGAGAAATAAGAAAAAATATTTCGAAGACATGTGAAGTTCGCCAACACGCATAGGGGCAGCGCGGCGGACACTTCTTTGCCCTAAAACCCTCTCAGAAGTGAGTTAAGGCCCAGCATTGGGACGTAAACAGGCTGTAACTTAACTATTTCAACGATAATAGTCTGAAATAATCAGATGAACAAATTGTAGATAGGCAACAATAAAAACTATATGGGTGGATGTATATAAGTATAAAATTGAATAAATATGTAACATGGGTACTCATTTCTTTAAAAGGCTCCTGGTACTTATTCGATTTACTGTATCTACAGTACTAATTATTTACGAATGGTACTGTAGGTATCAGCAATCTTGCTCTAGGTTGAAACATAACGCAACGTTACACGATTTGCAAAACTGAAACCTACGTAAAAAGTAAATCAAAAAGATTTTTTTTAATTCTTTTGAATTTTGCAAAGTGGATACAGATAAAATGTACATTAAAAAAACGGACATAAGAAACATGTGTCTGATGTGACCTTAAAAACCACAGCCTGTTTATATAAGAATAAAAAAATTTTCAAATATTAAATATTAAAATAAAAATATTAAAAAGCATATGTAAATATTTTCTACTTCTCTGTTTTAATAAATTGTTTAAAAAATTCCGAGGTCTTGTGTTAACGTACATGGCATATCCAAATGCCACATCTAATTTTTGCATAAATCATCGAATGAGATTTGAATCAACCAAGCTCCGTTTATAAGCTCGAGGGCGCTAGATTCTTTACGATTCTAACAATTAAACCGAATTTGAACGTAATGCTGTATGGCAAACTTTAGTCCCTTTTTTCGCCACCCGCAAAACAAAGAACTAGAATTCACTACTGCGGGAGACTCATAGATGGACACTATTGCACCTATTGCGTATTTACATTGAAATTTTGAAAATATTGCTTTATCCTCATTTTTATGTACTAAAACTGTAAATGATTAACAATTACACATATTTTGACTCAAAACTGACAGTCAAAACTAAAATTTTATGTACATTTCAAGTCAAATTTCCGCAACCAGCATGTTAGTTCTAAGATAGCGGTTTGCTTCATACAAATTAAAAAACAATTTTAGACGTACTTAATGAGATAAAACAGAAAATGAGATTACAAATAAGGAGGTTGCTTACCCAGGCATTGTTTTAACACAATTCACCACACAATTAAAACAAATTAGTACAAAATAATTGCTAACAACTTTGTTGTTAGCGCGCGTCAGTCACACTAATGGCTGACTCAAGGCACGGACGACTTTATCGGATGGTATATATAAAAAATCCTACCAAAGTGTATAAGCTGTGGGGTTTATATGGTAACCTTTTTTATCCTATACACATCGACATATGGTAGAATGAGTTAGACATAGTGGGTAATGCTTTATTTCGACATTAAAAGAGCGGGTGAAAAATGTCCAGTACTTGGACACCCGCAGTCAACGGAGATATTTTCGTGTCCAAGGGTTAGACGTCCGCAGTTGAGAGGATAATACTAAAATAACTGCAGCATAGCTCTACCACGTATATATTTAAATAATAATTACCACGTATATATTTAAATAAATAAATATATTTAAGTTTGAAGTGTCTGTCGGTAATATTGAATACCCCCAAGACGTGAATAACAGCCTGGCCACGGGATATTCGCCGTAGCGAATATTCGCGCGAATGGCGAGGCGTCTAGCGACTAAAACAAGTGTGTAGAAATATAAGCCACGCGTAGCGGCGAGTGGCGACGCGACCGGCGAAATTTACCGGGCGAATCGCGCGGGCGACTGGCGGCGCGGCGGGCGAATGAAACAAATGTATGAATCAGTACGGTGCAGGCCACGGAGTCGGGCGGCAGACGCGGCGAATAGTAAGGGAACAAAATATTTTAGTTGTTTTCGCCGGGAAAAATGCCGGGCCGACAAAAACCACTTAAAATTCTATCCGCATTGTCTTTTAACTCCAATTCTGGTTGAACATACATATACATAACAAGAATATAATCGCAGGTTTCGACACTCATTCTTGTATTTACTCGAAATTTTTTTCTAGATGCATTCTATTTGTTGTGGAATTCTCCATTTATAACCCAATTCCTATTCAAATCATTTACCTCGCAATCTTTTCCAAATATTATGTCTTGAATCAAAAAACAATTACTTTCTAAGCAACATCGAGATAACTTTGATAAATTTGATAAAGACATTTCACTCTCGGCCTATCTGGTCGCGGCGGCAAACGTGACTTCCCGTGGCCAACATGTTTATCTGTCCGTTTAGAGAGCAATGTCAGGAATAATCGAGGCTGTATTTGAACTGAAAAGCTTGGAGATTATTGTTGTGAAAAAGATTAAAGTAATGTTTGTTGATGACTATCTTAAAAATCTAAATGAATAAATAAATGACATAAATAGATACTATCTAGGCGAAGCCAGGGCGAGTTATTTGTAAGAACATCAAACAACCACCCAATAAAATATCACTTCTGAAGTTAAAAATTTCAAAATTATTTAAAATTACATTATTATAAAATATACATAGATTAAGCTATAATTAAACTAAAATTCATGCAGTATGCAAACTAACCGCGAAGCAGAACCTCCGCACACATATATTCACTACTCGTATATCTGGTAGAGCCACGCTACAGCTATATTTTGGTTAAACCACGAATGGGTCGACTCGACAGGGGTAGGACCAGGTTTTCATTGAATACCAACGTAAAATAGTAGCCTCATGCTGCTGTGTTTCATATGGTGAGTATAGAAAACTAAGGACCCTTTTTTCTGGATACAAAGCATTCCATCTCAGTCCTCAGGGGTTACAAAGCTTCTGCATTTTCTTCGATTCTTAATCGAGGGTAAATGTAGATGTCTTTGGGCCACAGTATTCACTTATCATCAGGTGGACTGTGTACTCGTTTTTCACTGTTATGTTATTAAAAAACACGACATGGAAAATCACGACACATATTGATGCCTTGGTTTTATGTTTAAAAAGGTTTCATTTTCTTTTACGAGCAGTTTTGCAGTAAATGAAGTGCACGAAAACCCGTTTTTTTAACATAATATCAGTTCAATTTTTTATGAAAAACCTGTTTAAAATTTATTTATTTTAATACATCACCTCATATATAATAAAACTGTTCATTATGGGTTATGACGAACGGAATGTTTTTTGAATACAGGAATCGGGCATAAATCTCGTAATATGTTTGATCCAAGCTAGTTCCAGCATTGTCCTATACCACTAGAACAAATGGAAGTTTAAAGTTCTACCCTCACTTATTCGTAATTTCTATTATTGTCAACTCTTATTCTAAACAATATTATAACGTATTACAACATACACAAAAATAGTAGAAAGAAAAGCAGAGAAAGACCAGCTATTGCGTGTGGAATGAATTGTTGCTGGTAGGAAACACTCGCGACTAATTTCAGTCCGGCCAAGGCAACTTATTAAGAGTCCACTGCTGAACATTGAGCTCCCTCATAGACTGCCTCATAGTTATATTTTGTCATAGTTGCAACGCTTGGCTGGTGGTTTGCCAATCGCTGTTTTTTTCTTTTCATTGTTCATCATCACATCATTGCTTACATCAATTTACTGTTTTCTACATAGAGAAATTTGTAATTTGCAGGTATACGCGCAACGGTGGCAACACGGGGACAATGTGTGAATGTGGAGCCCCTGACTACTGTCCCGTGTGTCCCAATACTGAACCCGCTCCCGTCTCCGCTCCCAGTCATATTCCCGCTGCCGCTCCCGCTCACATCGCCGTCTCCGCTCCCGCTCACATCCCAGCTTCCGTTCCCGGCCACTTGTCTGCTCCCGTCCTTACCTCAGCCCCGCCCCCTCTGCCGCCCGTCAGTTCGGCCGCTGTATTATCTCGACACACACACTCGCCAACACATCTTAAAGGTATGTAACCCTGAAAATATATTGGTCGTCTCTCAACAGCCTATTTTTTGCGTGGTAGAGCCACACTGCAGCTATATTATGGCAGTAGCACGAATGGGTCGGATCGACTGGGGAAGGACCACGCTCTCACAGAATTACAGCTTAAAATAGCAGCTTAATGCTGCTATGTTTCGTATGGTGTGTGTAGAGAACTGGAGACCCTTTTTACTGGAATCGAGGTATTCCATCATAGTCCTCAGAGTTGACAAAGCATCTTCATTTTGATTTTCAATTGAGGATAAATGTGGATGTCTATGGGCCACAGCATCCACTTACCATCAGCTGGATTGTGTACTCGTTCGTCACTCAATTCTATATAAAAAAGCCATAATCAGTCTGTTACTAACCGCAGATCACTCCAATAGTATATTGAGGATTATTTTTAAATCTATATTTAAATAGGCTTTTATCCTACAAGTATCTGTCATCCATATCGCACCACACCTTGTTCTTGTTATACGTAAAATCATGAGTATTTAGAAATAATTAACTACGTAATATAAACACTTGACAGATAATAAGCTATAAAAATATAACCTATATATAAAAATGCCATACTTATATACATATATAATTAGTACATACAAATAACTATGAATATATACGTCTGTTTAGCAATGTATACGACATGCATGATTCATGTAACAGGCGTTGCAAGAATAATTTTATGAGTTGAGTTGATTTACTGTCATCCCTACATTTGACTGGGTAACTGGCTATTGCAGTACTTCAATAGAAATAGAAATTAGTTTTATTCAATATAGATTATAAATGATACTTTTGGAAGTCATTCTTATGTTTAATTTACTACTGGTTCGGTGAATACTTCTGTCCTGGGAAGAACCAGCAAGAAACGCAGCCAATTTTTATAAATTTAAATAACAGCTTACAATCATATAGTATGTCACTTAACTACAAAAAACAAATTAGAAATAGCTTGGTAGTGATCACCTCATTCTCATGGGTTATTATCATCCATAAATTCCTTAATATTATAGTAATCCTCTTTACATAATCAGTTTCGGCCATAGATCACGAATTTCATAATGTTTTAAGGCCAGAGATTACTCACGCAGTTGTTTGTAGGGTGGATGTTTCAGCTTATTTTCTGAAGTAATATTTTGTTTATTTATTTTTATACTGTACCAGTCGAGGTTAAAAAAGTTAAATAGAAACATCTATTTTATACTGTCTTCATTAAATTTCATAGTTAATGACGATACCTAGTTCTCAATTACCGGAGCTTGACGGTGAAGGGAAAAGTCATTAAGTCATGTCAAGAAATACCGCCCACTGTTATTCCTTGTATTATTTATAGTCACAATTATTCCTAGTATAATATATTCTGAGCAATATTTTATCCATAAATAAATATGATCGTACTTGAGTGCGTCCTAGATTTTAAATCAAGAATATTTTATATTTTGCGTCGATTTTACAAGAAACTTATAAAAATAAAGTAGATTGATGTTGGTCCTTCGAGCCGGATACAATAGATACTTGAATCATTGTAATTCTTTACAGAGGAAGTCTTACAAACAATATTTGAAGATGAAGTTCACAATCAAGATAATTCCAACTACAATGAGGGAGTTATCCCTGACAATCTAGAAGGTATCCCTCCACCAGAACCTCCCCACGAAGATGAGCAAAAGGCCCAAGTAGACCCTGGGGAGAAGAAAAAAAAGAAATTTGAGTGTCCACTGTGCGACAGGGTCTTTTTCCATAGGAATAGTTTATTGTATCATATGTTAATGCATGGGGAAAAGCAACATGTCTGCAAGGAATGCAATAAGAGTTTCTATACTGCTAATTCTTTAAAGGTGAGTGGCTATTTAAAAATACTTAAGAAATCTCTACATCTATAAATATAAATAAAATTAAAGTGTAATATTGAAATAACTGACTTCTATTTTATTATTATTTAAATGTAAGGAGGGATCTATATTTCACCCGCAAAACTTGAATACCTGTATTTAAAAAAAATGTTTTTGATTATCTTAAATTTAAATTACTATTTGATAGATCCTATCCGGGCATAGTCGGGGTGAGTTTCTAGTTATATATAAAATTCTGATCTGCGTGTGTTCGTAATTTTTCTCTTCCTTTTGAGTTTGACGAATTTTTAATGGGGCACTATGGGGTCACTGGCTGGTTCTTGGCTATAGTTGGACCCGGTGAGTGGGAGTGGATTGCTAGTATAATATATAATCGTCTTGCTCTATCGCGGAGGAGACCTGGTGATTAGTAATACTGGTTTTGTTATACCTTCATTAGGCACTATCTCTTATAAGGTACCAGTCTGGCACTTCTTTCATTTTAATTACCTAAGAAGTAATATTACCTATTGTAAATAGAGACACGAACACTACACATTTAAATAAAACTAGTTTTTACGGATTTTATCGTGTACTAGCTTGCCAGACAGACGTTGTTCTGCCCTTTTCGACAACCCTTTGTCATGTCCTAATAAAAATTCTTAAATTCGCAAAAAAAATTGTGGGACACTCATGGTTAAAAAAAACTATCCTGTCTCTCAAGTTTAATCAAACTGCACACGGTGTGCAAATTTGATTAAAATCGGTTAAGTAGTTTAAGAGTTCATCGCGGACAAACAACGTGACACGTAATTTATATACATGTATAAAGATATTAACTTAATTTATATTCCCGACGTATCAAGTAATTTACAGCACCCATAGGGTAGTCACGAATAGGTAGAATGACCTTATATTGTCTTGAAGTCTTGCAGTTGTTTGGGTGGGATTTTATTTTAGTGATTATAGGATTCCAAGCAGATGGTAGCAGCACCCAACCATTTTCTCTATTGAAATTATTTCAATAGCCTTGCCAGTTTTATTTGGAAAAATTCAGTTTTTCGGCGGGAATTTGTGGTTATAAAATCTGGCGTAGTGACGGAGGCGATACTGTATGTGTTCAGACTTCAGACTAACCGGAGCTTCGATTCCTCCATATCAGCTATAAAACGGAATCCGAAACAGTAATATTTTTATCCAAATATGGAGCATAAATAATACTATTGAAAGTCACAATGTTTAATTTACCACTGGCTCGATACCTCTGTCCTGGGAAGAGCCAGCAAGAAACCCAGCAGGTTGAAAAAAAAAATAGTTTACAATTATACATGTTACACAATTAACAATATAAAACAATTTAGAAATAGCTTGGCGATCACTTTATTCCCAAGGGTTATTATCATCCATAACTTCCTTAATGTTTTCTGAGATTTTGTTGTAAAAGCATATGTATCGCCCCAAGAATGAATTACTGACTCGGTGGAGTCGAGTAAGTATTACTACTAGCTTGTGTCTTGTTCCTAATATTTACAGAACGAATATCACTTGTTTTTTTTTTAAACTACTGTTGTATTTGTGTACATATATAACATTTTCACAAATGTATTGAGAGACCAAAATATTATTTCCTTAAATTTTTGTCGTAGCAACTCTTTAGGTATTAAATTTGCTCATATGGTAGGTTTTCTGTAAAACAAATATAATTTCACGTAAGCGTTCTTTTACGCGGGTTTTTATTGATCTTTAGTTTATCGATCTTTTAGTTCAATCATTCGTTCATTAATTACAGGTTCATCGCCGCGTGCATAGCGATGATAGACCATGTACTTGTAACGAATGCGGTCGCTCGTTCCGACAGTGGAGCGATCTCAAGTACCACAAGGCCTCCATACACTCAGACCAGGTCAGTACTACAAGGTCGCCATACACTTAGACTAGGTCAGTACCACAAGACCTCCATACACTCAGACCAGGACGGCTTCAGAAGACCTCAATACACTTGACCAGGTCAGTATCACAAGGTCTCCATACACTTGACCAGGTCAGTACCACAAGGCCGTCATACACTCCAGGACAGTACTACAAGGCCTTCATACACTCAGATCAGGTTAGTACTACAGGCCCTCCATAAACTCAGATCAGGTCAGTGCCACAAGGCCTCCATGCACTTAGACCAAGACAGTACCACAAGGTCTCCGTACACTCAGACTAGGTCAGTACCACAAGCCCTCCATACACTCAGACCAGGACGGCTCCAGAAGACCTCAATACACTTGACCAGGTCAGTATCACAAGGTCTTCATACACTTGACCAGGTCAGTACTACAAGGCCGCCATATACTCAGACCAGGTCAGTACCACTATTCCTCCATTCACTCAGATCAGGACGGTTCTAAAAGACCTCCGTACACTCAGACCAGGTCAGTACCACTATTCCTCCATTCACTCAGATCAGGACGGTTCTAAAAGACCTTCGTACACTCAGACCAGGTCAGTACCACTAGGCTTCCATACACTCAGACCATGTCAGTACGAGGGTGACAATGAAAGTTGTTAGAAAATCAAAAACTGAACAAACTAGCAAGTTATTAGTTTTATTATATCTTTTCAAAATAGTATCCATTTACATCAATGCATCGCTGCATCTAATGGAACCACTGAGAAAAGCGCTTTGCCCAATCGTCCTTAGGGGTCTCTTCGACGGCATTTTGAAACGCTGCCACTGCTTCTTCGGCGTCCATAAAACGTTTTCCTCGATGTTTTCCTTTTATTTTCGGAAATAAATAAAAATTGCAAAGTGCAAGGTCGGGGCTATAGGGCGGGTGACCCAGTATTTCCACGTCTGACGTCGCCAACAGTCGATTGATTGCTTGGCGATGTGCGACGAGGCGTTGTCGTGGTGAAGGATCATCCTACTGCGAGGTCGTTTCTCCCGAACTTTTTCCAAGACAAGTGGCAAACAATTGTTAGTGTACCACTGTCTGCAGTAACTGTTTTTCGATCCTCTAAAACAACTGTTACGTAATTACCTGTCCTTCCGAAGATGGAGGCCACCATCTTTTTCCCCACGCTTCGACCTCTCTTCACTTTAGTTGTAGGTAGGAAACATCCAGTCAGCAAACTGTCTCATAGTTTCAGAATCATAATAAATCCAGCTTTCGTCACCCGTAAGTATGTCGAACACAGCATTTGAGTCATCTCCGTTAAATCTTTGAACCATTTCACGACACTAATCAACTCGACGGAGTTCATGGTCCTCTGTCAAATTATGAGGTATCCACCGGGTACAAAGCTTCCTGACCGCTAAATGTTTATGAAGGATTTTGTGCACTTGACTCATACCGATGCCTAAGCTTGTCCGAATCAGCTGATAAGTCACTCTTTTGTCAGTCTCAATCATACGCCGCACAACACTGATGTTATCTTCAGTCGTCGTCGTAGAAGGCCGTCCCTCACGCAGATCATCGGTGAGTATAGTGCGACCATGCTTAAACTCATTAAACTAGTGGCACGAGATGGGGCTTCATCGTGAAAGGCCAATCTAAGTTCATCATAACTTTCTTATTGACTTAAATGACATCGAAAATCATAAAAAATCAATGTACAAAAATTTTCTCGCGTTAAATTAATGTTGACGTGACACAGACAATTTTCAATTTGCCGACAAATCGTAAATAAATGACAAGTTAATTAAATACGTACACAATAGTATTAGCAAAGAGTTCCATTTTCAAAATTTAAACTTATTTTTTTATTATATCATTTACACGTGGCCAGTTCTAAAAACTTTCAGTGTCGCCCTCGTACCACAAGGCCTCCGTACACTCAGACGAAGTCAGTACCGCGGTCTCCGTACATTAGGATCAGGTCAGTACCACAAGGCCTCTATACACTTAGACCAGGATGTTTCCACAAGACCTCCATACACTTGAACAGGTCGTTATCACAAGATTTCCATACACTTGCCCAGGTCAGTACCACAAGGCCGTCATACACTCCGACCAGGTCAGTACTACAAGGCCTTCATACACTCAGACTAGGTCAGTACCACAAGCCTCCATAAACTCAGACCAGGTCAGTACCAAAAGGCCTCCATGCACTTAGACCAGGTTAGTACCACAAGGCCACCATACACTCAGACCGGGTCGGTACCACAAGGCTTCCATAAACTCAGATCAGGTCAGTACCACAAGGCTTCCATAAACTCATATCAGGTCAGTACCACCAGGCCTCCATACATTCAGACCAGGTCAGTACCACAAGACCTCCATTCACTCATTCCAGATCAGTACCACAAGGCCTCCATACACAGACCAGGTCAGTACTAGAAGGCCGCCATACACTCAGACCAGGTCAGTACAAAAGTAAAGTTCAAACTTAAAAATTTATGAAACATGGTCGAATTTTGAGAACTGTGTGACCTGGTATAATTGCACAAAACAAAAAATTATGAAAAATTATAGCTCCTAAATTAATGTGTTGTATCTGAGCAGACAAGCAGCTATTCATAAGTACGACGAAATTGACAGCTATCGCCCTCCTGGACCATTATGGTATAATCATAGTCTTCTAATTATACTACTAGACCGGAAATTGATTGGAACAAAAACTGTGTCACAGCTGTGGAGCGCGCAGGTGCGAGCGGGTAGCTGACGCGGTAAATATGCCACGCAGTTGTATTTTCACTTACGACGGTTACTGTTTTTAGGAAAATACGAAATAAAGTTAGTAAGTACTTATCTGAAATAAACTTCAAATCACGTTGACAAAGCGCGGGCATAGTAACAGCGTTTCCTTAGTCGTAGTTAGAATAGAATAGATTTTTTTTATATAGAATAGGGTGACAAATGAGCACACAGTCTACCTGATGGTAAGTGATTGCTGCGGCCCATAGACATCTATATCTATCCTCGATTACAATTCAAAATGCAGATGCGTTGTCACGCGTGAGGAATAAGATGGAATGTCTCGTTTCTAGTAAAAAGGGTCTCCAGTTCTCTACACTCACCATACGAAACAGCAACATTAAGATACTATTTTACGCTGGTATTCTGTGAGAGCGTGGTCCTTCCCTGGTCGAGTCGACCCATTCGTGCTACAACTATACTTCAAATATAACTGCAGCATGGCTCTACCACGTATAAATTTATTATTAAATAAAAAATTATTGAATAAAGATTACATATTCTTAATTTTTAGTGAGTAATTTTTTTATTTTTCCACTGGTTGGGAAAAACCTGTGTCTGGACTAGAACCAACAAGAAACCTAGCTGGCCTTTTTTGTTTCAAAGTAAATTATGCAATAAAGGTTGTACAAATTACTTAGAGAACTTATTTAAGAAACAGCTTGGAAATGACCAGCTCAGTTTTAAATTCCCGACGTTTTGGGTGATTTACAGCACATCATGGTCATGAGATGTTGAGATGAGATGAGATGTTTGACGACCCGAAACGACAGGAATTAAAAATAAGTTAATTAAACGCAATAAAATCCGTATATATAGTTTCATTCAATGTGTAGTGTTCGCGTAAATTTAAGAAATCATTACATAATTATTAATTACCCTTTTATACAGATTTTGTTTAATAAAATGTTTAAACTTGTTAATAATAGAGAGAACTTGTTTTTGGTGTGTAATGATTGATATTTTTGAACAGAAACACTTCAAGTGCGAGTTCTGCAACAAGGAGTTCGCGCGGCGTTACTCGCTGAACGTTCACAGACGTATTCACACCGGCGAGAGAAACTACAAGTGCGAGTACTGCACCAAGACGTTCCGCGCATCTTCGTATCGACTCATTCATATGCGGACGCATACAGGTTACTACAACTTTTATAATATCCTAAAGAACGCCGTTACCTGGTAGTGGTGTTTTTTTATATAGAAAAGGGTACACAGACCACCAGATAGTAAGTGGATGCTGTGGCCCATAGACATCTACATATATCATCTTTTAAGAATCAAAATGCAGATGTGTTGTCACCCTTGAGAACTAAGATTGATTGCCTCCTTTTCAAGTAAAAAGGTTCTCTGGATCTCTACAGTCAACATATGAGACACAACAGTATTGACCTGCTATTTTAACCTGGTATTCCGAATATAGCTCCAGCATGGCTCTACCAGTTCTGGCTCTATACAATGTTGAGCTCATTTGTAACCTATAATTCTATAAAAAATTCTTTATCATATAACACAAGACTTCTAATTCATTTTCAGGTAACAAACCCTACAAATGCCAACAATGTGAGAAGTGCTTCAGAGTAGCGTATGATCTACGCCGACACATGCTCATCCACGACAAAGTACGCTTGAGAGTAGACGGAGTGAAAGCCAAGCCCAAAGACACAAAAGAGAAAAAATCACAGGGGAAAGTGAAAAATGATGCCAAAGAACAACCCCAACTAAATGATCAAGAGGAAACTAATTTGAAATCTACAAAGAAAAACTCTATATTGAAGAGTATTTTAGATAAAAAACAGCCACAGAAGATGACTAAAAAAACACCGAATCCTAAGAAAGGAGCACCAAATGTCACCATTGCTTCAAACAGAGACGGACAGTTCAAAATCAATAATGAATTCACAAACAATGTCGAAGTATTTGACACGCGACAAATCGAATACAACAAATTCAAAGACGAGTATGTCGCAAATGAATACAGAAAAGATGAAATGTTGCATTCATATAAAAAGGAATATCCAGATGATAATTCATACAAAGAAAGCCAGCGATTGGCTGTGGAAAGAGATTTAGCTGTACTTCGACCCATTCTCCGCAATAGTTCTCAGATGGAGGACTTGCAGAAGCCAGTTCTTCGAGGTGAGAACACCGATGGCAAACTCCAAGTGTTCACTCATGTACAAAAAAGCAAAGAGGTATCCGGATATATCACCCCTTTGAGTTCTTCACATCCTAATATATCACTTAACGACATGAAGCAACTAGAAAGGGATATAAATAGAGAAGTAAGAAATGATCTGTCTTCTGAGAACATGGATAATGTGTTTCTGGAAAGATTAAGCGCCTTCTACAACATTACAGCAGTTTGAAAAAGGTTTACCACTGGGCATCAGCCTAATTAGTTAACCGCTTGTGACGGTACAGCTGATGACTGAAGTGTAGTACCCGGTCGGGGGACCAAATAGTGAAATTTTAACCAATTAATTATTATAAGTTTTAGCACAGTGGTGTGTTCACAGTTAACTTGCTGTCCAAGTCTAAAACGATATTACTGTTGGTGGAACAGTTAAATATCATTGTGAGTAATGGCCTATCTTTAAATCAAACTAATTTACGGATTTTTATCACGTTTAATTTTAACATTTTAATCCCCGAAGTTTCGGGTGCATTACAATGGTCACGGGAGGGGGGGACTACGACTGTGGTGTGTGACGTCTTAACATCATTAAGCCTGGCTGCCGTCAACTTTTGAATATTCATTTTTAGTCCAATCTACAAAGAACGAGCTTACAGTATCTTGAAGCAGTGATATGCTAAGGTTTGGATTTCATTTTATTAATTACAGGAAAGAGCCCCAGCAGATGGTAGCACCCATCCATCTCCTCTATTAAAATTAGGATGTATTTTAATTTCAATAGCCTTACGAATCATCCTTCGTAGGAATCTGTGTTCTTTTGCGAGGATTTGTGGTCTATTAAATCTGATGTAATGGCGGGGACAATCTTTAATTCACAGACTTCCTGGAGTGTTCGTGCTTTATGTCAACAATATGTTCTTTCACATGGGTATTTTTGTTTGTCTTAAGTAAGAGAGACCACGTTCTCAATCAAGCTTGTACACTTCTGCATCTTGTAGATTATTATATATAAATATTACACTTGACGGATGATAAAATGCCGGAAATTAAAAAATTAAAATGAAACGCAATAAAAATTCGTAAATTTAGTACCTACCTTAAAAAAATGTGGTATTCGCAGGGCATTAATGAGAAGGACGCTGGACGCTAGCTATTTCCTTATAATGCGAGCAATATGTTTGCTCGATAGCTTGATCACCACCGATTATGCTCATTTTTAGTGGTAATTACCACTTGTACGGTGATGTAGATCACAAAAACATGTGAAAACTTGCACCTTGTTAGATTGACAATATTTGATACGTGATTTCCAACCCATAATGAAGCACTGTGGAAATTTCTTTTCTGCTCTTGCCCTTCGAAAATGCATCTCTGTGTTATCCAATTTGGGGGGGAGGGGGGGGGGGGGTTAATAATTATTTTACTTTATAAATAATTTTGTTCTATAGGCTATATTGTTGTTCTTCAGCCAGGGTTTAAGCTAAGGAACAAAAATATAGCCTAACACATCCTGTGTTACTTTATAAATATTTTTGTTCTATAGGCTATATTTTTTTCTTCAGTCAGAGGTTAAGCTGAAGAACAAAAATATATAATTTGTAAGCAGACTTAAATACAGGCTGAAATAAAAACATTGGCACCTTTTAAACTAAGAATATACACATGATACAAGCTATGTTGGAACTAAAATAATGGAAATGTAAAGCTTTAATATTGCAAGTTAGGAAAATTAAAAATCTTATTGGGGCAACTTGCAAGTGACAATTCTTGCAAATAAACATGAAGAAAATAATTATAAAAAAATAAAGTATATAAAAAATCATTCTCGAGTGACAACATCTTACCGATAAGCAAAGTATAGTGTTGCCCCCCATTAGATGGTGCGACGACCTGGTAAGAAATGCAGGAAGTGGATGGATGATTATGTGGTAGAGCCATGTTGCAGCTATATTATGGTTGTAGCCCGAATGGGTCGGCTTGACTGAGGCAGGACCACACTCTCACAGAATAGCAGCTTAATGCTGCTGTAGTATATATAACCGTAAGTAAGGTAAGTGTAGATAACCGGAGACCCTTTTAACTGAAAACGAGGCATTCTATCTTATTCCTCAGGGGTGATAACGTACCTGCATTTTGATTCTTGATTGAGGATAAGCATAGATAGACATGTCTATGGGCTACAGCATTTACTTACAATCAGGTATACTTTGTGCTCATTTGTCACCTCAGGACCATACCTTGTGGCATTTCTTGGGCAAGGCTTATGTTATAAGCATCAATAAACTGTAATTCAAATTTTTGCAAGTACAGTTTATCAGTCTGGGACAATTGTATATGATCAAGGCAACAAAGGCAAACTTTTTAAATAAAGGTAACAAACGAGCACATAGTATACCTAACGGTAAGTGGATCCTGTAGTCCATAGATATTTAATCTACCCTCGATTAAAGAGTCAAAATGTAGATGCTTTGTCACCTTTGAGGACTTAAATGGGATAATGCCTTGTTTCCAGTAAAAAAAGTTTCCATCTAAACTCACCATACGAAACCCGGCAACATTTAGCTACAATTTCACCTTGTCCTTCCCCAGTCGAGGTGACCCATTAGTACAACTACCATGTCATCATTGAACTGATCATGCCAACTGATCAGTTCAAACTAAAACTGTTGATATTTTTTTAAATATTGAATTTTCGATATATTAATAATTATAAATATATCAATATATATAAGTTTATTTACCGATATATCGAAAATCCAATATTTAAAAAAAAAATCAACAGTTAGTTTGAACTGATCAGTTGAACTGACCGTGTGTGGCAACCATAATATAGCTGCAGCGTGGCTCTATCATATGAAAAATTCATGGTCTTTTTCGGAACAAATTAAACTAATTAATTTTTATTGGTTGTTAGCAACACTCGCTAAAGATCACCATGATTTGGAAGTGCCATTGTTTTCATTATTGTTACTTTTTGCTGTATCATTATTACAATTTAATTCACTTCAAAATATTCCGAGATTTGAGTAGAATAATAGGTTCAATGGATGCCAATGATTTTAAATACACTTGTATGTAAAAACCTCATTTGTACTTAGGCAAGTGCCAAAAACAGAACAACATATTATATGTAAATATATATACATGAATATTGTAAACATACGTTAATGTATATAGGTGTATAGTGTATATATGTACTGAATTTATCAGAATCATATGTAAAGTGATCAATTTATACCAGGTAGTGAGATTAATAATATTTATATTATGTGTCTAATTACAGAACTGAAATGAAATAATCCACCGTAGAACTAGTTCTAAATTTAGATTTATTTAAAAAAAACAGTTGTGAAAATGGTCACTGTCAAATGGTGCTTTAGCACGATTTTTAGTTTTCCTTTTTAATAACTTTATAAAAACGTGCATGAATTTGTTTTCCTTATAATACATGAATAAAGTGACAGTTAAGTTATATAATGGTTTTTTTCTTCTTTTTTTTTAACTAATATTAGCCAGTGTTGACTACTATCCCACTTGATAGCAAGTGGTGATGCCTGGAAGACGCCTACATTATCGTCGGATCGAAAGAAATGCTGGCATGCATTTGTTTAAAAGGATTTACTTTCATTATAATATTTAATGTTGTGTTTAAGGGCATATACTACCTCAAATAGCTTACCAAGATCCTCCATTATGCCGAAAATCGGACATTGACCTTTCGGTCGTTTAACCAGGGTTTTTTTTTTGCGCCCGAAGCAATTAAAGGGCTACCCTATACGTAGGGAGGCGGAAAATGCATTACGCATAACACGATAGCCGGTCTATCGTGGTTATGAGGGGCTCACTGTCCTACCGGGGACCCTAAGTGATACCCTCTAAAAACCGCCTTTGGGGACAGGCAGCCGGCTGATCAAGCTGTATAGTGCTTTATCATGAGCGACCCTCTTTTGGGAAAAAGGGGGCGCAGGCGGCTAAGTGCCGCTGAGGGAGTGCCTACGAAGGCAAATTAATGTTAGTTATTACAATAATTTAATTTAATTAGAGTTGGCCTGAGCCGCCAGGAGACAGTTCAGGTCGTTTGACAGTTTATTAGGCGGGTCCGAGAGAGAGTTTCTCGGCCTGCGGACACGATAGCGAGAGCTGGGTTGGGCTGGGTGGGGCTGCATAAGAAGCTGCCTCACGAATTAAATGGTTTGGGTGCGACTCTGAGGCTTTGAAGAAGTTCTCAGAGAGTTTTTTAAAAAATTGTTGAATTGTTGGGAGCTCTAAGTCCCGATGAAGGTCGGCATTACGGACGTACCAAGGTGCGTTCGCAGCTCAACGACAGAAGGGGTTTTGAACTATATGGAGTTCATTTAAAATTTTAGGGTATGCGTGGGCAAAGACGGGGCCCGCGTAGGAGGTTAACCAGGGGCTACAAACCTTCAATATATAGGCACTTTTTATATTTAGTATTTTCTTTATTTATAATGATTTTTTTTATTATTTCTTTGAAAGAAGAAGATATATTATATATTATTTTTAAGAAAAATCATCTATGTTATAAAGTACTCTATTCATTTAACAACAAAAAGCATTATTTTATAACACATATAAAGATTCGAGTGGTAACGACACCGAATAAGTACGTACTTATTCAAAAGATAAAACTTTATTTTCAATATTATATAAGAACTTTATTCGGTGCATGCGGGCTGGCCCAAAAAAAAGTGACACATCTCTGGCTGCCATTGTCACGTTTCTTTTAGAACGAACTGACGTAACGCGCGTTCTTTTTATTTTAAAGGGATGAATTTGCAAAAGCTCAATATGGTGATTATATTGCTTCAAATATTTTTTTTTAATATGAAACTGTTATTAAATGAATTGCTGCGTTACTTACCATAAATTGAAATATAAAATATAACACATTTTTCGCGATGTACCGTAAGATTATACGATGTTTATAGGAACCACAGACAATATTATTTAAGAAACAAAAAAAAAACATATGTGCTGACCTAAAAGTGTGAATAATATCAATATTTAAATATTGTTATCACATGTAAATTGAGATTTTGTATGTTACGCTTTTTGAGACTCGGCTCATATCTGAGGTCATTGTCCGTTTTTCTCAATCGATTTGGCACGAACTATAGACGAAAACACGATTCCGTAAAATTTTCTCGATAGAAAAAAATGCCAAAGTTACCTCCAAACTGAACAATAAACCGCTGCTATTCATAAAATACT